CCTGGTCTCCCTTATTCCTGGGGTGCATTGGCGGGGACAGTTTGTTATCAGTTAACTAAGCTTCCTGTGTGTTTCCGTGCTATCCCTGCCCCACCTGGTGATTTAGCTGCAGGCAATCTTCTCCATTGTTAATATGGTAATTTCCCACCTTCCTGGGCGGAGAGATCTTTGTGCTGCAGTTAGGTAGAAAAGGGCTTCCTCAAGTCTGAATAAACGGCATTCGCTTGATCTCCTATCGAATGACCCTGGTCTCTGTCTCTTGTGTTCAATCTCCAGGCCCTTGCCCGGACTCGCATTCGGTACAGCTGCGCGCGAACTGTACCGAGGGTGTAACACCAAAACCGGGTGTTACAAGAAAGATCTGGTACTTTCTAATCTACTATCCCCGTCATCACCAACCCACAAAAACAAGAGACCCAGGTGATGTGGAAGTGTCATATATCAATCTGTTGATTTCATTGGTTAAGTAATAAACACACTGCTTGGCCTCATAGCTTAGAACATAGATGGGAGGAGAAAACAGAATAGAATTCTGGGCAGAAGAGGAAGTGAGGTCAGACTCTGCTCTGCTCCCGGACAGCATGGACGGAAGCTAGAATCTTCCTGGTAAGCGCACCTTGGGGTGCTTACACACATCATTAGAAATGGGCTAGTCCAGGTGCGAGAATTAGCCTGTAAGGGCTAGAGTTCATGGGCCAAGCAGTTCTTAAATGAATACAGTTTGTGTGTTGTTATTTTGGGCATGAGCCAGCCAAGCGGCCGGGGTGTTGGGGACGCAACCCCGCCGCCGCTCCATATTTCAACACCCAGGAAAGATGAAAATGAAAACTCAGCTCTCACTGACGGTTTTGCTGGATTTAACAGATCAGGGATCGTAAGTACTCACAATGGATTCCATCATTTCTTAGGAGAAGGTCCTATGGATGACTGGGGATTCAAGTTGAAGCAAACCACTAAAAGGAAACGCTAATGAGGTTCTGGCACTGTCTAAGCTGTGTGCCTGCGGCCTCTGCTGCAGACATGGGACAGACCTGGCTTTGCTTCTCAGCTCCATGATCTCCGACAACAGTGATGGAGTATATGTGAGGCCTGCCTGGACAGAAAGGCCGCCTGCACATCTCCTCTCAGTCCAGCTTCTGAAAGAGACATCAGAGCATCAGTGACTATGGTTCAGAACCACGCTCTTGTGCATCCGGTGGAAACGAAAGCCTTTTTCAGTTCATGCCAAGTTTCTTCATGGTCCTCCAGCGGTCTTTAATCATCACAGCTGTTCGGTTGATAAGGGGGTAGTTTTTAGAAATGGCGGCCCAGTTTCCTTCCCCGTACTTCTGCACTCCGGCCTTCACCCACTCGCTCTCTTCCACAGTCCACTGTCTCCTGAAGGGCCGTCTCCTCTTCCCACTTATGAAAAATGACCTCTTTCTGGGGTGACCAGATGGATGGTGTGATTGAGACAGGAGCAGGGAGGTTAGGAGAAATGTAGAGCCCATCTTCCTGTCCCAAGGCTTAGGGACTTTGTAGCCACTGTTCAGTCACTTAGAAGAAGAGAGGTTGTATCAGGGACAGGAAAACAAATGTCACTAAAATTTCTTTCTTTGGGGCTGGAGAGATGGCTCAGAAGTTAAGAGCACTGACTGCTCTTCCAGAGGTCCTGAGTTCAATTCCCAGCAACCACATGGTGGCTCACAGCCATCTGTAATGAGATCTGGTGCCCTCTTCTGGCATGTAAACATACATGGAAGGAATGTTGTATATATAATAAATAAATAAATCTTAAAAAAATTCTTTTTTTGTTTCTTTTTTGTTGTTGTTTTTGAGGGGTTTCTCTGTGTAGCCCTCTGGTTGTCCTGGAACTTGCTCTGTAGACCAAGCTGGCCTTGAATTTAGAGATCCACCTGCCTTTGAGCTCTGGGATTAAAGATGTGTGCTGCCTAGCTAGCAGCTTTTTCATGTTTTTGTTGTTGTTGTTGTTTTGTTTTGTTTAGCTTTTTGCTCTTGTTTTTGTTTTTAATGACAGGACCGATGCAGTCAGGGCTGAACTTTTGACCCCCTGCCTTCCTGCTTTCATCTGTCAAGTTCTGGAATCACGGGCTCGAGCCATCACAACCCAGGAAATTTCTTTTTACCAAGCTGGGGGTGTGACTCGGCGGTAGAGCAGTACTCAAAAAAGAAATTTTAATATATTTAAGATAAAAGTTTCATGCTGGGCAGTAGTGGTGCACACCTTTAATCCCAGCACTCGGGAGGCAGAGGAAGATGGATCTGTGAGCTCGAGCCAGCCTGGTCTACAGAGTGAGTTCTAGGACAGCAAGGGCTACACAGAGAAACCCTGTCTTGAAACACAAAACAATAGTTATGTCTCTTTTTATTGGGCTTTATTCTTTTATTTGTGACTAAAAATAGGCAAGAGAGGTTGTGTGACTCTCCCAAGGCCACCAAGCCAGGACGCAGCCTACAGAGATTTGAAGCCAAGCTTCCTGTGCGGTGTAAAGAGTCCTTCTAAAGATCTACACACACACACACACACACACACACACACACACACATGCCTAACTAACTGGGGAAAACTTTAGGGAACGACCACTGCCCACGGCTTTAAGAACCTGAGGTCAATCCTGACTCTGTTGCTGGTTCCCCGGAGGTTCCTTTGGTTCTCAGGGCACAGTTAAATTATTGTAAAATGAAACAACTCATCCTGGCAGAATGGGGGTCTGGTCTGGTATTATGACTGAACGCATTCTCTGCATGAGCCTGGGCACGGACAGGCCACAGTGAGGACTCAGAAGTCCGGCGAGGGATGTTGAGGTTTGCTTGCCTAGCTTTGCTTAACAGCTCCTGTTTCCTAAAGGATTGTAGATGAGAAAGTTGAGGCTCAGAGACAAGAAGCCTAGCCTGAACTGCCACCCCACGTTCGTGGAAGTATGCAAGCCATTGAGCAAGGTCAAAGATCCAGAGGCAGAACAAGACTTGTGGTCAGTATTCTGTTGGTGAGCTCCGTGTCTCTGGAGTGAGCAAGCCTATGCTGAGCAGAGCTTCCCAGAAGAAGGGGCCAGGTCCTGCAGTCCAGCCCGTCCCAGGACAGGAGGGGGTTGATGGTGACCGAAGAGGCGTGGCCGAGGGGGAGGGGGCGTGGTTGGGAGGAGGGGGAGGTCGCGCCGCCATATTCGCTCCCGCCCGCAGCCCGCGGCGCAGCCAGCATGAGTACCGCTGCTTTCCACATCTCCAACCTGCTGGAGAAGATGACGTCCAGCGACAAGGACTTCAGGTGCGCCCTGCGGCGGCCCGGGGCTTCTTTCCAGGGGCCTCAGCCCGTTCTGGTCTCCTCCCCCATCCCCCTGCAGACCCCCGCGGGTACCGCCCGGGCCTGCCTGGGCCTGCCTGGGCCTGCTGCAACAGCCCCGCCCCCAGCCTCTTCCCGCCTTTGCTGTGCTGGGCCCTCAGATACCCCCACACTAGGCGCCCCCCAGACCCTCCAATGAAGTCCCCCATCGGCCTCTCCTTGGGATCTCAGTGCAGATCTCCTTTGACCCGCATTCAAACAGGTCCCTTCCCTGTACCACCTCTATCCTAGGGCTATCCCTTTCCTATACCCGCTCTTCTGCCCGGGTCTCTGGGTTACCCCCCCCCCCCCCCGCCCCAGCCTGTACCCCTGCCGGGTCTGCTAACCCCACTTCCCTTTCCTTCATCTTTTCCCCTTCATCCCCTCCCTCTTCTTCCTGACCCTTTTCATCCCATCCTTCTTATTCCCCTCCTCTCCCGAGATGTTTGGTTAAGCATGGTTTAGAGGCAGGAAACAAAGGTGGGAGTAAGGGCCATGTCTCTCCCGGACTCTCTCCAAATATTCAGAAACAGAGCCACCTACAAGGATGGGAACATCTGGTGCAGCCCTCATCTTGAAGGGGGAACTGAATGAAGCTCAGTGACACAAAGGGGTTGATCCTATAGCCAGTTCTGTACCTTCAAGTTGACAGGACACTGCACCCACTGAGTCTTCTGTCAGTGTTACAAATAGAGAAACAGATTTAGGGCACGAAGGGCCTGGGTACAATGCCAAGGTAGGACCAAGCAGAGGGGGAGGTCTTAATGATGTCCTGAATCCAGCCTGAAGAGGCCTGAAGCCTGCTTGTGTGATCTGACCCCCTCTGTGTCCTGGAAGTCCATTCCTCAAAATCTCTCTGCAACCCCAAGCCCCATGGTGGTAATAGGGCTTTGAACCCTTAGCTCTGACTTCAGTCTTCACAGTTGTAACTTTCTGGCTCTGTAAGTGATGGGCAAATTACTCCACCCCCTTGAGCCTTAGCTACCGCGTGGTTTAGGTACCAGGTAAGCGCGTCGCGAATGGTTGCTCCCATGATCCTGCACAGGCTCTCGCTTCCCCCGACCTTGACTAAGTATCTGATTTTCACTGCTGGCTCCCACTGCGTTGTCACCAGGATGCCTCTGCACTCCATGCAGGCCCAGGCACCTCTTTCTGTGTTTCTGCCATGTCACCTTTGGTCTCCTGGCGATGCCTGTGCAGGAGGACGGGGTAGGTCCTAGTGGAATGTTCTTTAGTCCCAGGCCTTTCCTGTTCTTCAGAGGCCTGGAGGGGGCTTTGGTTTACCCAAAGTCACATGCCCTGCCAGAGCTGAGAGACCATCTCCTGGGCTTCTGAATCAGGAAGATGGCCCTTTCAGCCAGGGCCAGAGAAGCCCTTTAAGCCTGTCCCTGCCAGCAGCCTCGAGGACACTTAAAACCACCCTAAGCATATGAGAATAGTGTCTATTTTTAAAAGTCTGAATGCCAGGAGGCTGAGTCCCCTGGCCAGCTGTCCAGGCACCATGTGGTCCTGTGTCCCAATGGTACAGCCTCTCAGATGACAGGAGACCATGGCTTATGGTTCCCAAAGGGGAGTTACTGACTGAGGCTCCAGGCAAGGGACAGGAAGCCGTGGTTCCCAGATTTGTTGGGCTCGGACTTTGACAGGGAAAACCAAGGGCTTGAGAGATCTGGCAGGAATTTCTGAATCTCTTCATGGTGACATTGTAATGTTAAAAATAAAACAGTGCAGTTCCCTGAGGGGTGCAGTGGCGGGTTGCAAGGGGCAGCGGGTCCCAGGCAGGGAGCTGCGCAGCAGGTGAGAGACAGAGATGAATAGGCACACCATGCAGAGAAAGTAGGTGTTTATTTAGTGGGTTATGGAGGGGAAAGGGGAGAAAAGGGGAGATCAGACAGAGGCAGAGAGAGAAAGAAATAGAGAGGGGGTAGGAGAGGAGAAGAGAAGCTACCTCTTCTGGAGAGAGGTGGAATAGAAGAAGCTCAGACTAGAAGGAAGGAAGATCCCCTTGCCCTGGTGGACAGGGGATGGAGTGGGCGGGGCTTGTCTCTTAATGAGACAGGACAGACCATTACAGACATTACTGTTGGAGGAGGCAGGAGACCCATCTCACACTGGTGTTCTCTATTGCTCTATAACCTCTCTGAGCCTACTTGTCTCAGATTGACCTAGTGAAACCCCCAAGGATGCTGTGGGAGAGGGGCAAAGAAAATTTCCATTTTATTCATGGAAAAACAGACTCACTGGCCAAAACTTACCCCACTGACAGAGGCAAGACAAGAATGTTTACTTAAAGCCCACTCTGTTTCGGAGCTCTAGCCTATCAAATTATTTTCACCACTATCCCTGCACCGTGGCACATTTCCACTGCGAGTGGTGTCTGCAGAACTCAGGTGTCTGAAATGCTGAAGCTTATTTGTGAATGTTGATTTCTGGATTCAGGTTTCCACAAGGTTGTTGGGCTCTAAGGGCTGTTGAGCACTAACTCTCTCCTGCCTTCCCCCTGCTCCCTTGTTAAGCCCATTCTTTGCTGAGCATGGAGTGTCGGAGGTGAGCCTGCTGGGTGCCAAGCCTGTATATGCACACATACGTGTATATGTGTGCACAGGTATATGCTTGTGGGGGGGATTGTATGTCTCTGTGTGCATGCGTGCGTGTGTGTGTGTGTTGTGTGTGTGCTTGTGGGGGAATTGTATGTGTGTGGGGGAATTATATGTCTGTGTATGTGTGCATGGTGTGTTGGTAGGGGGATTGTGTGTGTGTGTGTGTGTGTTAGTCACGGTCTCTGAAGTGCTCTCACACATTGCTGCACAAGTGAGAAGCGCTGTGATGGAGAGGTGCAAAGTCCTGAAGTGATCTGTCTAGGGAGGCTATACTACTTAGATGTGTGCACACGGCCGTGGTCAGTGTCGTCCCTGAGACAGAAACATTTAAATTAAGCTCTTGATGCATGAGTGTGCTAGTCAGGTTTCTGTCAGCTTGACACAAGCTAAAGTTATCTGAGAAGAGGAAATACCTACCTAAGATTGGCTTGTAGCGCACGCCTTTAATCCCAGCATTTGGGAGGCAGAGGCTGGCGGTTGTCAGTGAGTTCGAGGCCAGCCTGGTCTACAAGAGCTAGTACCTGGACAATCAGGACTGTTACACAGAGAAATCCTGTCTTGAAAAACAAAAAAGAAACCGGGCGGTGGTGGCACACGCCTTTAATCCCAGCACTCGGGAGGCAGAGGCAGGCGGATCTCTGTGAGGCCAGCCTGGTCTACAAGAGCTAGTTCCAGGACAGGAACCAAAAGCTACGGAGAAACCCTGTCTCGAAAATCAAAAAAAAGAAAAAAAAAAAAAAGAAAAAAGAAAATCAAAAAAGAAAGAAAGGAAAAGAAAAGAATTGGCCTGAAGATGTGACTGTGTTAGATTTTCTTAGTGATTGATGGAGGAGGGCCTAGACCATTGTGAGTGATGCCAACCCTGGGCAAGTGGTCCTGGTGTATAAGAAAGTAGGCTATAAGAGCCATGCTCTGCAAGCCAGTAAGCAGCATTCCTCCATGGCCTCTGTCTCAGTTCCTGTTTTAGGGTTCCTGCCTTGAGTTACTGCCCTGACTTTCTTGAAGGATGGATTGTGTAAACTGAAACTCTTATCTCCCCAAGTTGCCTCTGGTCATGGTCTTTATCACAGCAGTATAAACCCTAACCCCAAGTAGTAGAAATCCAGAAAGGCCCAAAGGCAAACATCCTTTACCTTAAAGTGCCTGGGTGGTGGCTGGGACAGCAACAATCCCCTCCTCTCTTTCAGCACAGCTTACTGCCTTCTCCGCAGCTTCAGGCTGATCCAGCTGTTAAATTTAAGAAATGGTGGCATGGTCAGGGTCCCTCCAGGCTCTGCGCGTTGCCGTGAGATCACACAGCAGATCTGGGCTGGGGCCCCACTCCAGTGGCGACATATTTTACTCCACGAGGCTGGGACAGGAATATGCTTTCTCTGGACTCTTTTTTTTTTTTTTTTTTTTTTTTTTTTTTTTTTTTTTAGAACAGGGAGCCAGCAAGCATGGCGGCCTGTGGGAATGGCTGCACTGGAGAAAGGGACTTGTCATCTGCAGTTACTGCAGTGGGGAGAGACCCCTCATATCGAGATCTTGTTTCCAGGAATTAGATGTCGTTATTGGTGTTCAGATGGTGATGAGTAATTTAGCCCGGGGAAACACGGCTGCAGCCTGGACACAGCTGAGGGAGCCAGTTGAGTCTCCGCCCTGCGTTCTTTATTTTAGCAGGAATGATGCCCCGTGAGGTCCCTTCAGCCCCATTCTTTATTGCTTTCTGAATTGAACTCCCATTGCAAGCCAGTGAGAGGACAGAGCAGCAAGCCTTTTGTAGAAAGGTGGTGGGTGGAGTCTGGACTCTGACCCTATGGCTAGGAATATTCGTCAGCTGTTGGCTCTGGTCTCCAGAATATCAAAATACACCAGTTGCCCATCCATGTGGCTTTTAAGGCATTCACGACTGTCCAGGCATAGGCATAGTGGACTATGACTTTAATTCTAACACTTGAGAGGCAGAGGCAGGGGGATTTCTGTGAGTGTGAGTCTAACCCGGTTTACAGAGTGAGTTCCAGGCCAGCCAGGGCTACCCTGTGAAACTTGTCTCAAACAAACAAAGAACAAAAAAGCAGGTTTGTGGCCCTGAACGTCACTAGGAACTTGGAAATAAATACATATCCTTAGACCAGAGCTTCCCACTGGGCTGAGAGGCTGGGGTGCGGCTTGCTGTGATAAGCAAGCCCTTGGATGAGGAGCTCACATTCAGATGCCTGTTAAGGGCAGGGTGTCTGAATAGGGTTCATCTGTGTATCTAGGGGTGCTTCTTTTCCAGCACCTGACTCTACATGAAATTGTCTGTCTCATACTCAGGTACTCATGAGCCACCTGTTACCGTGAGATGTGAATGACATCTGCCATTTACTGGGTGTGTGTCACGGACCCCACAACCCTATAATCAGAGTCCAAGTCTATTTCCCCACTTTTTTGTTTTGTTTTGTATTTTCTAGACAGGGTTTCTCTGTACACCTGGCTGCCCTGGAATTCACTATGTAGACCAGGCTGGCCTCAAACCTGGAGATCCGCCTGCCTCTCAAGCACTTAGCTTAAAGGCATGCACCACCACTGCCTGGCCAGCAAGTGTTTCTAAACACTGAGCCATTTCAGCACCCCCATCCCCATTTTTTTAATTATTTATTTATTTATTAAAGATTTCTGTCTCTTCTCCGCCACCACCTCCCATTTCCCTCCCCCTCCCCCAATCAAGTTCCCCTGCCTTGTAAGCCCAAAGAGCAATCAGGGTTCCCTGCCCTGTGGGAAGTCCAAGGACCTCCCACCTCCATCCAGGTCTAGTAAGGTGAGCATACGTGCAGTAGGATCAAAAACCCATTGCCATTGTTCTTGAGTTCTCAGTAGTCCTCATTGTCCGCTATATTCAGCGAGTCCGGTTTTATCCCAGGCTTTTTCATACCCAGGCCAGCTGGTCTTGGTGAGTTCCCAACAGAACATTCCCATTGTCTCAGTGTGTGGGTGTACCCCTCGCGGTCCTGAGTTCCTTGCTCATGCTCTCTCTCCTTCTGCTACCCCATCCCCATTTTTTAAACAGGTAAACCAAAGCTGAGAGAAGGCAGGTGACGCCCAAGTTCCCATTTTGGCAGTGGCAGGAGCCTCCCCTCCCTCACACCCAGCCATGAGCTTTAAGCCAGTCCTTGCTTCAGTCTCCTACACTGTGGCAGTTGCTCTCACTGAGGTGGTTCAGCTCTGCCCACAGCCCTGATTACCCACAAGTTGAACCCATGCACTGAGCTTCACTTCTGGGGGACTCTAGTGCACCCATCTGTCAGGGCCTGGAAGCTGCTCCACAGCCTTCTTCCTCCTCTGCCCCTCACCAGGTTCATGGCCACCAGCGACCTGATGTCAGAGCTACAGAAAGACTCCATCCAGCTGGACGAGGACAGCGAGCGCAAGGTGGTGAGAGCGCTGCTGCGCCTCCTGGAGGACAGGAGCGGCGAGGTGCAGAACCTGGCTGTCAAGTGGTGAGCGGTGGTGGGGTTTGGGGGAGGGCAGTTTGGGGACAACAATAGGGTTGGACGCTAGCCAGCATTCCTTGGAGGTAGACCCTGCGCCAAGAGTTCAAGTCTAAGTTACGTGCGAGGTTATCCGGGAAACAGGAAGGGAAGTAGGGAAGAGGAGGGGAGATGGGGAGAAAGCCTGCATAGGGGTTCTGTCGCTCTGACAGGTCCCCAGGTGACAATCTGCTACCAGGCTTTGAGAAATGAGGATGTAGGTCTCAGATGGATGACCAGCATCGGCAAGTGAAAAGCAGTTAGACGTGCCCTGGAAGGCCCAACCCAGACCTTCTGGGGTGGCCGGCAGTAGTCTGTGTGTAGTAATCCCCTAGGGATGTGACACCAGCTCAGGTGTGCAGACCCTTGCTTTGGGGCGCTATGGAGCCACAGGGTGAGATGCGAATCATAGGCTTGGGGGGCATCGCATTCCTAGCAGGTCTTCTGCTGAGCTGAGGTCCTCATCACGTGTGTCCCCACAAGCTTGAGAGGACGAAAGCAGGCAGCCTGACTTAAGGCATGCCTGGGGCTTCTGGGCCCTTCTCCCTTTCTCCCTCTGCCTCAGCCTGGGTCCCTTGGTGGGCAAAGTGAAGGAGTACCAAGTGGAGACCATTGTGGACACCCTCTGTGCCAACATGCGGTCAGACAAGGAGCAGCTCCGAGACATCGCTGGCATTGGCCTGAAGACCATCCTCTCAGAGCTGCCTCCCGCCGCCACAGGTACCCAGGCCTTGGTGCTGTGACTCAACCCAGCTGTGTTTCAAATACTGGGGCCAGGAGATACTCCTCTGGGAAGCCCACACCTGTGTTCACCGTGTGCCTTCTGCATGCCTCCGTTTCTCTTCACCAAGTGCTTACATCTTAATTCCACCTTAATTGGAGGCAGAGGCTGTGGTTCAGTATGAGTTTCAGGTCAGCCTGATGTACAGAGGACAGCCAGGGATATAGTGAGACCTTGTTTCAAAATAAAAAAAGAGGGAAGGCTCAGAGAAGCAAAAGGATCTTTGTGGCATCCCTCAGTGGCATCCCTCCATGGTAAAGAATTCAGACCCAGATCAATTGAAATTTATGGCTGCCTGTTTGTTAGGAATGCTTCCAGCCGCAAGTGAAGAGCATAAACTCACGGCAGCTTAAAGACTAGCCCTGGTCTCTCCGGAAGGATGCTGTGCTCTCTCCTCCTCCTTCCTCTCCTCTTCCTCCCTTTCTTCCTTCTCTTCCTCTTCCTCCTCTTTCCTGGTGGCAGTGCTGGAGGTCTTGGGACTTGTATGTGCTGGGCCAGGCCACTCCCATTCTTGCAGCCACTGTTCTGCAGCTCGGACTCATAGGGTCACACTCTTCATCTGTGTTCTCTCTCCTCTGTAAGAAAAGACACATTTCCCAGTCCAGTCTATCCCACTGGCCAGAGCTGGGCCACTGGCCACTGATAGCTGAAAGGGACTGGGAAAAGAAGTGTTTAACTTGTCCCCCTCCCTGGTAGAAGTGTGGGAGCTGGCCAGCCGCTCAGCCTTCAATTTGTCAGTTCCTCCAGCTGATTCCTGCAGGTGTTCATTAAGACCTCGGTCAGCCATGGACCATTGATGCCCGGGCTTTCCTGGACCACTAACTTATGGGAGATGCGGGCTCAGAAACACAACCAGAACATTAGCAGGCCGGAGTTGGGGGCTGGATCCAAGCCCACAGCCTTTACCCTGCCCTCTCATGCCCTGCACAGGCTCAGGGCTGGCCATCAATGTGTGCCGCAAGATCACAGGCCAGCTCACCAGTGCCATTGCCCAGCAGGAGGATGTGGCTGTGCAGCTGGAAGCCCTGGACATCCTCTCCGACATGCTGAGCAGGTGAGCCAGGCCACCTTGAGCAAGAAAGGTGGGGACAGGCAGGACTGAGATGAGTGACCTGCATGCGATAATGTCACATTACAGAATGGGCTTTGGGAGGTCATTAGCTCCAAGGTCACAGAGTCAGTAAACCTCCCATAACTTGTACATTTGCTCTGGGGGTACGGAAAACCAGGTGTTAGTTAGTCTAGTGGTGGGCCAGTGTCAGCTTCTGGAGGGCCAAGGCTTTAGGGTCCTCAACAGATCTAAGGGCACCACAGAGGGCAGAGGCATGAGAGGACTGTGAAAGGTTTTGGGTTTGGGGCTCAAGGGAACACTAATGTAGATTGTCCTTTTGATTAAAAGAGTAGAAGGATTGGGCGTGGTAACATATGCCTTTAATCTTCTTACTCAAGAGGCAGAGGCAGAAGGAGCTCTGTGAGTTCAAGGCCAGCCTGGTCTACAAAGAGAGTTCTAGGACAGCCTGGGCTGTTACACAGAGAAATTCTATTTCAAAAAACAAAACAAAAAAGATTAGAAGAGTTTTTCATGGCGTGGAGAGACAGCATGGAGGGCTCTGCTTCAGAGTTGAGAGTTCCCATGCCATGTGGGTGATAATAGCCCACAGTTGGTGCTTGTCATCTGCTGGCCGACTCTGATCCAGGGGTTGGGAAGGGGTCTTGGATTTGGAGGAAGGAGTGAGTGACCTTCAGGGAGTCTGGAAGAGGGGCTTATTGATTAATATTTGTCCATCATACAGGGGTTAGCCTGGGGCCTTACGCAGTATCAGCTGCATGTGATCATGACCTAAGCAGTCTTTGCTCTGGGCTCTGGCAGACTTGGGTCCAGGGCTCCTGCATGGTGAGCTGATTATGGAAGCTGGTATTCAGTGAAGAGGCTGGGGGGCTGAGCAGGATCCCCAAAGACACACCTCCACCTTCCTACTGTCATCTGGACAGGCAGGCTGGAGAGGAGTGTCTTTGTTTTTATATTTGTGGTGGGATTGAATCCAGGGCTTTAACCTTGCTGGGGAAGAACTCTACCACTGAGATCCATTACTCTTTGTTTTTGAGACTCCATCTCTCAGTTGCTCAGGCAGGCCTTGAACTCACTCTGTAGGCCATACTGGCTTTAAACGTATAACACTTCTGTCTCAGCCTTCTTAGTAGGTGAGATTGTAGGCCTGTGTCCTAGGCCTGGCTTGGCTTCCGTGGGTTGTCTGGAAGAAGACCCCACAGGATCTGGAGTAGAGGATGGCCCGATAGGTTTTAGAAACTAGGAGATGAAGGATTGGGGTGGGGGTGCCCCAGGAACAGGTCGGTGCTGTAGGAGGTGATGGGTTCCATCTGAGCATGTTGAGTTTATAGTGCCTGGAAGGCACCCCTCAATCGTGAGCTCCATTGGCCTAGAGTCTGTCCTTATGGCCCGACTTCCAGCATAGACCCTGTCCCACAGTAGATGAGTCAATAGGTAAAGACTACAGCAGAGTGATCAGGGCTGCACGCGTGACAGTGAGGTTATGGAGCGCAGCAGAGCAGGGCATTGTGGGATCGAACTCACCCAGAGCTGGTTTGACTGTGGAGAACGAACTGGGGCCATGCAGAGCCAGGTTCTACCTGTGGAGAAACTATCTGAGGGTTACCTCTTGCCTTGAGTTCAGAGCTCAGCTTATCCAGAGGACACTGGGGAGCCATAGCGGGATTAAGTCCGTTAGATTTTATACCACTCCAGTTGCGATTTCCGGAATAGGTATTGAGGCAAACCTCAGGCCCCAAGAATTTGGAGCATCCTCACTGGAACCCCCTGCCCACGACACTCCTCCCTAAACTGAGAGATTGGATACCTGGGCTCAGGTCTTGGACTTGCACTGTTGACTGAGGAGCCTTCGCAAGACATTCTCTGTAGCTTTCTTTCCTGTAGTAAGCCGCTAGGTCATTCCTCATGTTTAGAGGGGTACCTTGTCACTTTCCCAGGGTCTTTGAATATCATAAGAAGGAGGTACTGAGAGAATGGGGGTGCAGACCCAAGTTGCTTGTGGTGCCTGACCGGACATTTCCTCTATCCTGTCCCCAGGCTAGGTGCCCCATTGGGCTCCTTCCATGCCAGCCTGCTGCACTGCCTACTGCCCCAGCTGAGCAGCCCGCGCCTGGCTGTTCGCAAGCGCGCCGTTGGGGCACTCGGTCACCTGGCAGCCTCCTGCAGCACCGACCTCTTCGTGGAGCTCGCTGACCACCTAGTGGACCGGCTGCCAGGCCCACGCGCGCCTGCCAGCCCCGCAGCCATTCGTACACTGATTCAGTGTTTGGGCAGCGTGGGCCGTCAGGCTGGTCATCGCTTGGGTGAGCGGGTGGGGCTAAAGTTCTGAGAAGGGTTTGGTGGGTGGGGACAGAGCCCTAATAGGAGCACAAACTGACTTTCCTTTTTCGGGTCTTATGCTTCTGTGTGGTCTTCTGGAAGTGACTTCTGTGGAGGCCCAGGGTTAGTCCTTATATAGAATGTGTTTGAGCCTCTGCTTTGACAGGCACACCTCAACCTGTGAGCCAGATTTAGAATCTTTAAGCTTTTATTGAGAATAATAGATCTAGAGTTAGCCACACTGTTTAAAGTGTACGCCAGCACACACTTGTGAGCCCACATCCCTGTCAAAACTCTCAGCATTTCCACCATTTCCGTCCCTGCCCCTGCTTTGCCCTCAGGCAGCCACCTCCGGCTTCATCGGGAATAAGACAGCGTGTAGAGCGTCAGTCAGTGCCTCCTGACTCCTGGCTCTCTCCAGGAGGGTCCAAGCTACTCCTTGGCTTCTCTCGGTAGCACTGTTTTGGGAACTAGGCTGAATAGGCCTAGACTAGGGCCCATGTTTGTTTTGGCAGGAAACTGAGGTCCCATGGACCCCAAAAAAAGTCTATAAAGGAGTGTGCAAAGAGTTGGAGAGATGGCTCAGCAGTTAAGTGTGTTTGCTGCTCAGTCATGAGGACAGAATTTCAGATTCCAACACTGGCATCAGATTGCAACAAATGCCTAGAATTCCAGCTCCAAGGGATCTGATGCCCTTTTTTGGCTTCTCAAGGCAACATATGCGCACGCACACATAAATAATCAAATAAATTTAACATGGATATTTAGGGGTCTCTAGCTTAGCATGTTCCTTCTTGCACTGTGGGAAGGTTATGGCTGGAAAAGAGCTAGTGTAGCCTCGAAAGCAGTGGTCCTTTTTTGTTTTGTTTTGTTTGTTTGTTTGTTTGTTTTTTGAGATAGGGTTTCTTTGTATAGCTTTGGAGCCTGTCCTGGAACTCACTCTGTAGACCAGGCTGGCTTTGAACTCCCAACTCACAGAGCTCCATCTGCCTCTGCCTTCCAGGTGCTGGGATTAAAGGCGTGTGCCCCCACCCACCGCCTGGCAAAGCAGTAGTTCTTAATATGTGGGTCAAGACTACTGGAAAACAGATATTTACATTACAGTTCATAATAGTAGCAAAATTTTAATTATGAAGTAGCAATGAAAATAATTTTATGGCTGGAGTCCCCACACCATGAGGAACTGACAGTATTAAAGGGTCGAAGCATTAGGAAGGCTGAGAACCACTGCTCTAAGGCCTTGGTCCCTCTTGTTCTCCCGTCTGCAGCTCACACTCTAGTGTAGGAATAAGGCACAGCCATGATAGAGCTAAGCTCTGCCTGCATCATTGTTCATTGGTGTCCACACTGTGATGGTCGGTAGCCTGAGTCAGGAAGTCAGCAAGTGGCCCACAGCCCCAGTCTGCTTACCTCCGAAGCCTCAAAGTTGAATTTGCCCTGCAAGGGAGAAGTTGGGCTAAGGCTGTGGGCTGGTGACTGAGGGAAGATGTGGCGACTTCAGTGACCCTTTGGCTCTATAGGGGCCCACCTGGCTCGCCTGGTGCCCTTGGTGGAGGAGTTCTGCAACCTGGATGATGATGAGCTGAGAGAGTCCTGCCTCCAGGCCTTCGAGGCCTTCCTTAGGAAGTAAGTACAGCAGCTGCACTAGAAAGCAGGCCTGGGAGCTGCATGGGGGGTTCGTAGGGCTCAGGGACAGCATGCCTGCCTCAAAACAGCCAGCTTTTGGCACTTGTTTTTGGGTCCCACCCTTGCTCTGTCACACTGGATTCCAGTGAAGCCTCCTTTCCTTGTCCCTCAGGTGCCCCAAGGAGATGGACCCTCACGTACCCAATGTGACCAGCCTCTGCCTCCGGTACATGAAGCATGACCCCAACTACAACCATGACAGTGACGAGGATGAGGAGCAGATGGAGATCGACGACAGTGAATTCAGTGAGGCAGGTAGGTGGACGGCCTGGTGTGAGGGACAGGAGGGCACAGCAGCCAAAGCAGGGGCCTAATCAGGCCTGCCGGGCTGCATGCTGCTCTCTTCTAGCTAAACAACCAGGATGAAGAATACTTGGGAAAGACATTTGCCCGTACTCACCACGTAGACAGTGATGTAGTGACTGGCATTAGGACATTTGTAGTATATCAGGTGTTACAAGTGTTTAAGACGTGAGTGGGGTGTGAAGTGCATGTAACTACCCTCAGATGCTGGTATCCTGGCTCCCACAGGTACCATTGCTAATCATTGCTTCCTGAGCATCCACTGGTGTTTCAAGCTCTTACCTTGCATTCCTCATAGTGACCCTGAAAACCTAGGGGTGATCATCCTCATATTTCAGACAGGGAAAATGAGGAAATACCAAGAGGCTTAGCCAGAACATGGGCTAGCTCTGACAGATGCTCCACTTCCAAGCTATCATTTTTATGTATGGTTTTCACAATGATGCTTTTAGCCCAGTGCCAAAGCTAGAGGTAGGATGATGGGCACTTGGAGGGGACAAGTCTAGGTGGTGGCTCAGTGGCCTCTTCCCTCTGGGCCTACGGTCCTGTCCATCACTCAGATTTCCTAAAGGCAGAGTGGAAATGGAGACTAGTGACTTTGGGCCTCACGGGGTCTTGAAATAAAATCAGACAGGCATGATAGAGCCTTGAATGCTAAGCCAGGAGCTGGGGCATTTTCTAGCCGGTCATAGAGGGCTCGGGCTATTTCTTTTTCTTTTCTTTTCTTTTCTTTTTTTTTAAATATTTATTTATTTATTATGTATTCTGTCTGTGTGTATACCTGCAGGCCAGAAGAGGGCACCAGACCCCATTATAGATGGTTGTGAGCCACCATGTGGTTGCTGGGAATTGAACTCTGGGCCTTTGGAAGAGCAGGCAATGCTCTTAACCTCTGAGCCATCTCTCCAGCCCCCTCGGGCTATTTCTTGTGGGGTGGCACAGGGTCCATTAAAGGAGGTGTCAGCTGAGCTGACCAGGGGGCCCACTGTTGTTTATCTGGACTTATTTTTTTTAAAAAAATATTTATTTATTTATTATGTATACAATATTCTGTCTGTGTGTATGACTGAAGGCCAGAAGAGGGCACCAGACCTCATTACAGATGGTTGTGAGCAGCCACCATGTGGTTGCTGGGAATTGAACTCAGGACCTTTGGAAGAGCAGGCAATGCTCTTAACCTCTGAGCTGATGATGGAGGTGGGTCTTGTATCTTATCTGTTGCTTTCATTGATTAACTAATAAAGAAAACTGCTTGGCCTGATAGGACAGAAAATTAGGTAGGCGGAGTAGACAGAACAGAATGCTGGGAGAAAGAAGCCGAGTCAGGCAGTCGCCATGATTCTCCCACTCCAGACAGACACAGGTTAAGATCTTCCCTGGTAAGACACCTCGTGGTGTTACAGGGATATTAGAAATGGGTTAGATCAATATGTAAGAGCTAGCCAATAAGAGGTTATAACTAATGGGCCAGGCAGTGTTTAAAAGAATACAATTTCCGTGTAATTATTTTGGGTAAAGCTAGCCGTGCGGGTGGCCGGGCGCCAAAAACACAGCCCGCCTCTCCACACAACAGAGTGGCACTGCAGCTCCTTCTACACTGAGCCATCTCTCCAGCCCCTTATCTGGACTGCTTTGCTGTATGAGTCTTAGTTGTCAGCAGAGAGGCACAGTGGGCACACATAGTCTCAGATTTAAGATAAAGGGGTGCTCCTTGTCACCTCTGACCCTTCCATTCTGCCCAGTGAGATGGATGGGATTGAATCTCTGATTTGCAGTTTCCTATGTTTCCTGAGATCTCTCACCCTCTCTGAGTCTTGGTCTTGGCATCTATAAAATGGGCCATTAGCTCCTTTGTCCTAGCAGTGTTGTGGTCTGCTGACTCACAGGCCTATAGAACAGAAGGTCACACATACCCATTCTTTCTTTGGTGTTTGTCTCCCTTGAACACCTTTGAGATGGGGGCCTTTAATTAACAGGGACTGGGTTAGCACCAAAGAGAAAGGAGCCCACCCTTTCTCTTTGGAAATGGCTAGACCTGAAGCCAAAGGATGGGCCTGAACCCCAGAAAGCTTTTCCATGTCTCCATTGCAGACTGAGTCCATGTCATTCTTTTTTGGAGGAGGGCAGAGTCTCACTAAGTGTTCTAGGCTGGCCTTGGACTCACGATCCTCCCACCCCATCTCTAATGCTGGGCTTACAGGCCTATGCCAGCCTATCAGCACATTTCTTCCTTGATGTTGTCAGACAAGGAGCTGGAGGCAGGAAGGGCTGTGGCTGAAGTGTAGATGTTTGTACATTGGGTCTCTAGGTCCTAGTTCTGTTCTCTGCGGATGATCCTTGCCCCACAGGAGAGACTGTGATGGAAGGGCATGGTGCCATCCTGGGCACACCACAGAGGTTCACAGAGTGTGGTGGCATGCCCAGTAGGCTGTGAATACTGATCAAAAGGTAAAGCCCAGGGTAGGGCTTCCACTGTCTTCTCCCCTGAGTTGCACATGGCTGTGTGTCTCACTCCTGCCCCAGAGAGTGAGGACGAATACAGCGACGATGACGACATGAGCTGGAAGGTGCGCCGAGCAGCCGCCAAATGCATGGCAGCCCTCATCAGCTCTCGTCCCGACCTCTTGCCCGACTTCCACTGCACGCTGGCACCAGAGCTCATCCGCCGCTTCAAGGAACGGGAGGAGAACGTCAAGGCAGACATCTTCGGAGCTTACATCGTGTTGCTGCGACATACGCGGCCCCCAAAGGGATGGCTAGAGGCGGTGGAGGAGCCCACCCAAACTGGCAGCAATCTCAATATGCTGCGAGCGCAGGTGGGCTGTGTCCATCCCTACTCCCTCCTTCCGTTCCTCCTCCCCATCTCTTCACTGGCTGAGGGGTGTAGCATGGGGGCCCCTCTACCCAGTCTGGGTGTTCAGATGGAGCCCTGCCTCATCCTTGGTCTGTGTGGTGCAGGCTTGGGACACACGGGAAGCAGCATGAGTAGGGCTTCCGGGAGCGAGAAGGGCTTCATTTCATTCCGGGAGTGTGCAGCTACAGGAAGGGGGTGGCAGAGTTTGTTTCACTTGAAAAAATTCTGAGCTGGGCAGTGGTGGTACACGCCTTTAATCCCAGCACTCCAGAGGCAGGGGTAGGCAGATCTCTGTGAGTTCGAGGCCAGCCTGGTCTACAGATGAGTTCCAGGACAGCTAGGGCTGTTACACAGAGAAACCCTGTGTAACAAAACAGAAGTTCTTCTGGCTGCTGGTGGGGAATGGGCTGTGACAGGACAAGCGTCATGGCCGGGAACCAGCAGGAGGGCATTGCAGCTGTGTTCAGGTGACAAGAGATGCTGCCTTCAGCTCAGTAGAAACAGAGTGATTGCCTGGCCTTGCAGCCTGAGAAGTGGGTTTTAGATTGAACCAGTGGACCTCACTGATAGATTGCTTGTGTCTGAGATAGGCAGGTATCAGTTGATCTCTTGGCCTCCTGGGATAGGGAACACTGAGGAGGAGGGGACATCTGCATCTCTGTACATTTGTGCTTGAAGTCCTCACTGACTTTAAGTAGTGAATTTTCTGTGTGTGTGTGTGTGTACACACACACACATATATAATGCCAGAGGCTGGATTCCTACTAAGAAAAGAGGCTTATTTAACTCGGGTTTGAAGAGTCCAAAAGAGCATGGTCCCTGCCCCGGTGTGGATTGCCCTGACTCTGTGGCAGCTTTGCAGATAGCATGACTATCCAGATAGAAGACATCCCATGGTAAGACAGGAAGCCAGAACGATGAGACTAAGCCCTCGTTTTATAATAAACCTGTCCTGACACTGCTACCCTTTAAAGGGCCCTCTTCTTCCTAGTACCACCACTATACTGGGGACCAAGCTTCCAACACATAAGTCCTCATGGGACACAAACTTTATCCAGACTGTAGCAGATTCCTAGGTTGAGCTACTAGGGAAGCAGAGAATGTGCAAGCTGGATCGGAGATACAAATCAGAGTAGCAGTAGTGCCGCTGGATTCAGGAATACATGGGGAGTATAGCTAGGCAAAGAAGAGAAGGGGCCATATGCTGAAGCAGCTAGGCCTCTGCTCCGTAGAGACAGAGGTGACAGCCAGGCTTCTGGCTCACCTTGAGCCAGTTCCTTGTCTGCATCTGCAAGAGGGAGGCAGCCATCACTCTGTCTGCAGAGTCTGAATCAGGTGACTAGTAGAGACTGGTGGGCACTGGGTATCCTGTCTGTGTTGGAGCCCTCCTTGGGGAGGCCTCCTGGCTGGCTCCTGAGCTCTCCACCTGCCCGCAGGTGCCCCTGGTCATGAAGGCCCTGCAGCGACAACTTAAAGATCGGAATGTTCGGACCCGCCAGGGCTGCTTCAACCTCCTCACTGAGTTGGCAGGCGTCCTCCCTGGCAGCCTGGCAGATCACATGCCCGCATTGGTATCAGGTACGCTGGGCTACAGCTGGCTGTCTACTCTTGGGTCTCTTCTGGAACACAGATCCCTACCCTACTCTGAGCCCTCAATCCCTGAGGGCCCAGGCATTATTTCTGGGCAGACTTCTGTGCAATGATAGCCCACGGAGGTTCCCCTCTGGCCACAGGGAGAAAGGCTGCTTCCAAGCCTTCTTTGTGGCTTCAAGTGAATTTTGGCCTTGTTTCCCTCAGCTCTGGTGGCCTCTGGGAGCTTTGGATACTTTGGTTCAGTGGCCTTCCTTGGTCACTACATCCCCAGACTGAACCACACAGAAGGGCCCCTAACCTTCGTTCCCACCCACAGGAATCGTCTTTTCACTGGCTGACCACTCCAACTCCTCCACCGTTCGTATGGATGCCCTGGCCTTCCTGCAGGGGCTTCTGGGTACAGAGCCAGCAGAGGCCTTCCACCCACACCTGCCTACCCTCCTACCACCTGTGATGGCCTGCGTGGCTGACCCTTTCTACAAGGTGGCCGCTGAGGCCCTACTGGTGCTCCAGGAACTGGTGCGGACCCTGTGGCCACTAGATAGGCCTCGTATGCTGGACCCTGAGCCATATGTTGGAGAGATGTCCACGGCTACCCTGGCACGACTGCGTGCTACTGACCTCGACCAGGAGGTGAAGGAGCGGGCCATCTCTTGTGTAGGCCACCTTGTGGGTCACCTTGGTGACCGACTTGGGGATGACCTAGAGCCCACGCTTCTGCTTCTTTTGGACCGCCTCCGGAATGAGATCACCCGATTGCCTGCTGTCAAGGCGCTGACACTGGTGGCTGTGTCCCCATTGCGACTTGACCTGCAGCCCATCCTGGCTGAAGCACTGCCCATCTTGGCTTCGTTTCTGCGCAAGAATCAGCGGGCATTGCGGTTGGCCACGCTGGCTGCCCTGGATGCTCTGGCTCAGAGTCAGGGCCTTGGCCTGCCTCCACCTGCAGTGCGGGCTGTGCTGGCTGAGCTGCCGGCTCTGGTCAGCGAGAATGATATGCACGTGGCCCAGCTGGCTGTCGACTTCCTCGCCACTGTGACCCAGGCCCAGCCCTCCTCTCTGGTGGAAGTCAGTGGACCTGTTCTGGAGGAGCTGATGCGGTTGCTGCACTCACCCTTGCTGCCTGCTGGGGTACTGGCAGCCACAGAAGGCTTCCTGCAGGCGCTGGTGGGAACCCGCCCCCCATGTGTGGAGTACTCTGAGCTCATTAGCCTGCTTACTGCCCCTGTTTACAACCAGGCTGAGGATGGAGGGCCTGGCCTGCACAAGCAGGTGTTCCACTCACTGGCCCGGTGTGTGGCTGCCCTCTCAGCCGCCTGTCCCCAGGAGGCAGCAGGTACTGCCAGCCACCTGGTCAGCGATGCCAAGTCACCCCACTCAAGCACAGGGGTCAAAGTCTTGGCGTTCCTATCACTGGCTGAGGTGGGCCAAGTGGCTGGGCCAGGCCCCCAGAGAGAGCTGAAGACCGTGCTTCTGGAAGCCTTGGGGTCTCCCAGTGAGGACGTGAGGGCTGCAGCTGCTTATGCCCTGGGCCGTGTGGGTGCTGGCAACCTGCCTGACTTCCTGCCCTTCCTGCTGGCACAGATCGAGGCTGAGCCCCGGCGACAGTACCTGCTGCTGCATGCACTCAGGGAGGCCCTGGGGGCCACCCAGCCTGACAACCTGAAGCCCTATGTTGAAGATGTCTGGGCTCTGCTCTTCCAGCGCTGTGAGAGCCCTGAGGAAGGCACTCGGTGTGTGGTGGCTGAGTGCATTGGGAAGCTAGTGCTTGTGAACCCTCCCTTCCTCCTGCCTCGGTTCCGGAAACAGCTTGCTGTAGGTAAGGGCGCAAGGGTCCAAGTTAGCCCAGCACAAGGTGGGCACTCGGTCTCCAAGCATCGATACAACTTTGCACATGACTGGAGATGAGAGTCACGTGTCTGTTAATCCAGATAGAAACATGCTTCTCAGAGGTACAGGCTTCCTCCTGCATAGTCTCCGGGGAAGAGGGACAAGGTCTTTTGTCTTTCTTCAAGATTTATTTGTTTTACTTCATGTCTATGGATGGGTATTTTGCCTGCATATATGTGTGTGTGCATATACATGCAATGCCCTCAGAAGCCAGAAAAAGGCATCAGATGTCCTGGATCTGGGATTACAGATGGCTGTGAGCTGCCACATGGGTGCTTGGAAACAAACTCAGGTCTTCTGCAAGAGTGGCCAGTGCTTTTAACTGCTGAGCCACGTCTCCAGCCCAAGGGTTTTTGAGTGCCCTTACCTCAAACAAATCTCTCATCCAAGGGGTCTGCACCATAGATTCAACTCACATGGATCAAAAATGTTCTAGGAAAATAATGCATCTGTACTGAACATGTACAAATTTTCCTTGTTCTTATTTTTTTTTAATATTTATTTATTATGTATACAATATTCTAATATTCTGTCTGTGTGTATGCCTGCAGGCCGGAAGAGGGCACCAGACCTCTTTACAGATGGTTGTGAGCCACCATGTGGTTGCCGGGAATTGAACTCAGGACCTTTGGAAGAACAGGCAATGTTCTTAACCACTGAGCCATCTCTCCAGCCCTTGTTCTTATTTTTTTTAAATACGGCATTGAAGCCAGGCGGTGGTGGCACACTCCTTTAATCCCAGCACTTGGGAGGCAGAGGCAGGTGGATCTCTGTGAGTTCGAGGCCAGCCTGGTCTACAAGAGCTAGTTCCAGGACAGGAACCAAAAGCTACAGAGAAACCCTATCTCGAAAAATCCAAAAAAAAAAAAAAAAAAAAAGACATTGACCAGGCAGTGGTAGTGGACTCCTTTAATCCCAGCTCTCGGGAGGCAGAGGCAGAGGGATCTCTGTGAGTTCAAGGCTAGCCAGGTCTATATAAGCTCATTCCAGGATAGAATCCAAAATTACACAGACAGAGAAACCCTGTCTCAAAAAAACAAAAAGCCACATTAGTGTGTATGTATGCACGCATGTGTTGCTGTGGCATGCATGTAGAGTCACAGGACAACTTTTGGGAGTCAGTTCTCTCCTTCTGTTATGTAGACCCCAAGGACTGAACTCAGGCTTGGTAACAAGTGCCTTTATAGCAAGAGCCATCTTACAAGCCCCTTTTCCTAAACAGTATAGATTGACTGCTATTGACATGTTTCATGTAAACAACATAGAAAAGATTGGCAGTACATGGGAGGGTGTGCCTAGCTTCTGTGTGGGCACCATGCTGTTTTGTGGAAGGGGCTTGGTGTCCTTGGACTTAGTATCCAAGGAGATCCTGGGTCCTGTCCTCTGAAGATACTAAGGGGGTGAAAATACAATTTAAAGTTTCATGATGGCATTAAGCATATGGGATTATAAATATATAACTCCGTAACTAGGAATGTATCCTAGCTACTTGCGAGGCTGGGACGGGATTATGACTTTGAGGCTTACCTGCTTACGGAAGTTGAAGGCCTTCCTGTGCAATTTAGTGAGACATTTACTCAAGAAAAGGAAAGAAATAAGGGGCTGAGGCTGTGGCTGTCACTAGGTGGTAGTGTTTGCCTGTGATGATGCATGAGGCCCTGGGTTCCATTCCTAGTATCTCACAAAATGCTAAGTAAATAGAGTGAAATAGTAGGGTACACCTTGATCCTGGCACTCAGGAGGCAGAGACAGGAAGATCTCTGTGAGATCTAGATCAGTCTGGCCTGCATACTCAGTTCCAGGGCTGCATCGAGAGACCCCGTCTTTTTTTTTTTTTTTTAAATATAATTTTTTTATTGAAAAAAAAAAGATTTCCGCCTCCTCCCCGCCTCCCATTTCCCTCCCCGTCTCCCTTTTCCCCCCTCCTCCCTCTCCTCTCCCCCTCCCCCCCACTCCTCTCCCCCTCCCTCTCCAGTCTGAGGGGCAGTCAGGGTTCCCTGCCCTGTGGAAAGTCCAAAGTCCTCCCCGCTCCATCTTGGTCTAGGAAGGTGGACATCCAAACTGGCTAGGCTCCCACAAAGCCAGAACATGAAGTAGGATCAAAACCCATTGGCATTGTCCTTGGCTTCTCAGCAGCCCTCATTGTCCGCCATATTCAGAGAGTCTGGTTTTATCCCATGCTTTTTCAGTCGCAGTCCAGCTGGCCTTGGTGAGCTCACAATAGATCAGCCCCACTGTCTCCATGGGTGGGTGCACCCCTAGTGGTCCTGACTTCTTTGCTCATATTATCCCTCCTTCTGCTCCTCCTTGGGACATTGGGAGCTCAGTCCAGTGCTCCAGGGTGGGTCTCTGTCTCTATCTCCATCCATCTCCAGATGAAGGTTCTATGGTGATATGCAAGATATTAATCAGTATGGCTATAGGATAGGGTCATTTCAGGTCGAGAGACCCCGTCTTTAAAAACATCATCATCAAAATAAAACCATATGATGTCATTTTATAACCCCTGCTGTGGACATGTGCTGTGAGAAAATACCTGATGGAGGGCGGATTCAGAGAGGACCTTCATTAGGAGGGGATAGTCAGCCATGGATGGGAGGGCATGGTGTGAGGAGTCATGGCAGAGGAGCTTGCAGAGTTCACATCTTGGTGGATCAGGAAACAGCCTGCTTTCAAAGGCAGTGTAACCATCAAGGCTTACCATCAGCAACCTGCTTCTACCAACTGGGCCCCAGTCCCCAAAGATCGCACAACCAGTTTGCAGCTGGGGACCAAGCTGGTCTGTGAGCCATGTCCTGTCCTGGCGTTACCCTCCATCCTTAGGGATCTGTGTGAACCCTTCATTTCTCCAGCTGCTTTACTCAGCAACAAGAGTGAAATAAAATGAGTCCTTCATGACTTCATGCTTAGGGGACTTAGGTTCTATGGGAGCCCATTGGCCTCCAGCCTGCCAAAAGCTCCCCTGGCCTCTCTGAGACCATCTTTCCTGTGTGAAACAGACCAGTAGTCCTTCTTCATAATTCTGTTTGTTTTTGAGACAGGGACTGACTTTGTAGCCAAGGCTGACCTCGAACTCTTGGAGATATTCCTGGGTCCTCGGTATGGCAGGTCAGCACTACCACACCGGCTTCGTTATTTTAATTAACATTCTGTCATTATGTGAGTTTGGATGGAGAGGGTGTCAGAAAAATGCAGTGTAGTCTTGGCCCGAGACAGGACTTTCCTGGGTCCTAGTGTTCTCTTTGCACCTGCAGCGTAGTATCCAGACCCAGCCACTTAATGTCCTAGCTGCAAGAGGAAGAACTGGGCAGGTTCAAGGCTGCCACAGGAAATAATCACACGAACTTTCTAGGGAGAGGGTGTATTGTGTTTCGCTACCATGGGCTACAGGGTCCCCCGCCTCACACTGTCACCTCTCTTGCAGGTCAGCCATACACCCGGAGCACGGTCATCACTGCGGTCAAGTTCCTCATTTCAGACCAGCCACACTCCATTGACCCCCTCCTGAAGAGCTACATTGGTATGTGTCCCCCGTTCCCTGTCTCGGCTGCAGCTAGTCCCCACATCCAGGGTCTGGAGCTTGGTAGGACGTCTTACAGATTAGCCAAGGCGTCAGACACCCGAAAGCAGCTCTCTCTGTGATGGGCAGCAGGGGCAGACTCCTGAGTGAGTAGATCTGCTTTGGATCCCTTTGCCACCAGCAGGCTCTGGTCGTCCTCGCAGGCCCCTTCTTCCTGACAAACCTTGCTTCTGTATCTGAGAAAGGTTTCCTTGGAACAGCTTACTGGGGTGGGAAGTGCCCTCTCCATGGCTCTGAGGATAAAACATAAGTCTGAGCTGGTGCGCCCCCCACGTGACCAAGTCTGAGGGTGCCAATGCTGGAGGATCCTTGGTGGTAGGTCAGGCCCTCCCTTGGAACCTCCTGCAGGACCAGATTTCTTGCCTTCAAAGCCCAGTGCTTGCACCTTCTCAGGGGGGCACAGCAGCATCCCAGCCCTCCTCACCCAGAAGTCAGCTCCACGGAATGTAGAGGGAGATGAATTCCCCAGACTTGGCTGTGAATACTGACTTATGTGGGCAGGCCGTTTCAATCTCAACTATAAAATGGGGTGCTGACCCACATGCCAGGGTGCTGTGGCAGACCAGAGGGCCAGTGGCATGACCACTCTTGAGTAGAGAATGCATCCTTGTCTCAGTCATCTCATGGCCTGACCTGGATGCCAGCCTTGGTGAGCTGCTGTGGTTGCATGGCCAGGGGCCACCAGTGGTGTCTCTGTTTTGCCTTATTATGGTTTGTTTTGTTTTGATTTTTATTAGTTGGTTTGTGTGTGTGCGTGTGTCTGTGTCTGTGTGTGTGTAAGACTGATTTGTTTTATGTGTAGTGTTTCACTTGTACATATTTGTGCACCATGTGTGTGCCTGGTGCCTGTGGAGATCAGAAGAGGGCATTGGATCCCCTGGAACTAAAGTTATGGATGATTGTGAGCTGCCATGTGGGTGCTAAGAACCAAACTCAGGTCCTCTGAAAGAGCAGCCAGTGCTCTTAACCTCTGACCCATCTCTCTAGCCCCCAAGGCTGGCTTGTTTTAGAGACTGAATCTGAATAGCCCTTATTGGACTCAAACTCACTATATATATATAGCTGAGGGTAACCTTGAACTCCTGATCCTGCCTTATCTCCCGAGTGCTAGGATTACAGGCGTGTGCCACCACCCTTCGCTTATTTGAGCCTCAGTTTTTGAGCTTCCTGAGTTGGATACCATGAGATGCCCTTGAGTAAAAACTCCTCAGCTAAATCTCATAGCTCCAGTCCTGTAAAGGACATTGGTCCCATTTTACAAATGAGGAAACTGAGTCCCAAGAGATGGTTCAGACTTGTCAGATTCCTAGGCTGTGTTCTCACAGAAGCCGGAACCCTGGGAGCCGACATAGCACCATGAGAAGGGCCCCAGGTTCCAGTGTTGAGACCTGCTCGTCTAGAAGACAGCGGTTCCTCCCAGTGGGATACATCAGGGGTCCCATGACAGCAGCATGCCTGCCCACGTGGCTGGTGATTTTCTCTCAGGTTACGTGGCTTCAGTGGAGACAATCACGTTTCTGTATTCCTATTTTTTTGGATGAGGATGCAGCTCAGTGGTAGCACGTGTGCTCAGCATGTGCCAGGGTCCTGGGTTCCATCCATACTATCCATACTATCCCAAATAAGTAAAACATGGTCCAGATTCCCAAATTAAACCTCTCCAAAAGACCTAGTCAGAGGAGTTGTGGAGTCCAGGTAAGCTCCTGTAGCTACGTCAATTTAGCACTTCAGACCCCATTGACATCCTGCACTCCAGAGGCTAAGGGGATGGAACTGGAGTTATCCAGTGAGGACCTGTCTCAAAACAAACCGTCCTTCTGTGCCAGCCTCAGCCCTGTGCTCCGAAGCTGCTACTCCTAAAAATCCTGCTAAGAGGAAGCCACACATTCTAACGTGTCCTGTGAGGGTGGCTGTGTGTCTGGCTTAGGTAGATGTCCAGGACGTGTCTGCCCTCCAGCCTGCACAACTCACGGTGCCTGGGTCACCAGGTATAGCATGGAGGTGGCTTTGTGTCCTGCTTTTACATCCTTCTTTGTCCCTCTGCAGCAGAGTTCATGGAGAGCCTACAGGACCCAGACCTGAACGTGCGCCGGGCCACACTCACCTTCTTCAACTCAGCCGTGCACAATAAACCATCACTGGTCCGGGACCTCTTGGATGACATCCTACCCCTTCTCTACCAGGAGACTAAGATCCGCCGGGACCTCATCCGAGAGGTATAGGGCATCGTGGGCACCTGGCATGACCTAGCCCCTTGTTTGCTGTCCTGTGCCTCGTTGTCAAGGTTCACTGAGTTCTAGGAGTGAAGCTCACACAGGCGTCAGGGTCACATGACCCCTCACCCCCCCCCCCCCCCCCCCCCCCCCCCCCCCCTGTGACCCAGACAGGGCAACCCAGTGCCCTCGGAGCTAAGTTTCCTCTGGAGCTAAGTGAGGACAACCACCATGCCTGTACCACGTGCCCTAAGCACTCGGGGCAGCTCTGGTGCTTAGTGGGGCATGGTCAGCATGAGCATCCTAGTCCTCAAATGTGCTGCACCTGTGACACCCTGTGACAGGTTCTAATTAAAGTGTAGGCACCCTACAAATATCTGAAACTGTCTTCAGGCATATGAAGAGGGGCTTATTAGACATAAATAGATAGAGTGTGTGTTTAGACTCCGGTCCCTTCTCCAGGGTGTCTCTGAATGAGCAAACATTCTGAAATCCACAATCTAACCAAACCCAAGCTCCTGAACCTCAGGTGTCAAGCATGTAGCATTATTGGGTTGTAATGACAGCAACTGTTGTCAATCCACCAGAGTCTCAAGTTCCAGGACTCAGACAGCTACCCTGTACTTGGCTTCTGCCACCGTGGTGCTCAGCTTGGCCTCCAGTAGAGAGGGGGTTAGGAGGGCCAGACTGGTGGAGAGAGCTAAAGGGGTAGGAAGTTGAGGTGATTGACAGCCAAGTCATCCCATAGCACACTGTGGAGGGCTGAGGAGGAAGCAGTGATCTCGAGAGGGGTTGGAGAAAGTTTCTATAAGAAGGGCATTTCAGTTGCGGTTAAGGCAGAAACTTTACTGTTAGAAGCCAGATCTCATGGTTAAATCTTCAGAGGACTTGGTTCTTTGAGTCTGGTTCTGATTCACCAGCTGTGTGTCTTTGAAGACATCGTTACCTCTCTGAACCTAGTTTCCATGTCTGTTGAGTGGGATTGTTAACAGCATCTTCTTCCTAAGGTGTTCACTATGTTCTGGAGACAGAATCTTATGTAGCCTAGGCAGAGAATGACCCTGCACTTCTGCTCCTCCTGCTTCCACCTCCTGAGTGCTGAGTTCCAGACGTGTGCCATCATGTTCTCTTTACTCAGTGCTGGGGATCAAACCTGGGTCTTTGTGTGCTAGGCAAGCCTTATCCCCAGACCTTCCTAAGACATCCTTAGGACTCGAGTAAGATGTCATCTGTCAGGCAAAAGTTGCAGCTCAGTTGCAGAACATGTGCTCAGTGTACTTGAGGTCCTATGCCGCGCCCGCGCACTGCAGCCCCCGTCTGTGCTCTATGCGCTAGAACCCAGTTCGCGAGCTTCGGGCAAGGGGCTGGAGGTTGAGAGTACACACGCAGAGACAGACCGACACACAGACCTTCAAACACTGGTACCAAAAGCCCCTCTTTAATAGCACCATGGAGGCTTAAATACTCTGCAGTCAATGGCCAACAGGTGAAAATCCCATCCTCTGATCCTCCAGGCAAAGCACAGCTTTTAGTAACTTCCATTAGAAGGCTCTAGACAGGGAAGAGCAGCTGAAGGCCAGGACTCCAATTGGTCCCACCAGTCCTACACACACATGCACACCCCACAGGACCTGACTCTGCCTGCTCAGGGGTATGGCCTTTGGGAGAAGGGATGCCACAAGCTGAGCTGATTCCTGAAGCTCGCTAGCGTGAGGCATGACTTGGGGCCAAGACACAATGCTGAGCAGGTGGGGTGAGTTGAAGAAATTAAGAAAGGGGCTTTGCACCCCCAAAACCTCTGTGTCCTTCCTTGCTACAGGTGGAGATGGGGCCCTTTAAGCATACAGTGGATGACGGGCTGGACGTGAGGAAGGCAGCCTTCGAGTGCATGTACTCGCTGCTGGAGAGCTGCCTGGGCCAGCTGGACATCTGCGAGTACCTGAACCACGTGGAGGATGGGCTGAAGGACCACTATGACATCCGAGTAAGTTGTGCCCTTCTAGATGCAGGCCCAGCTCAGAGCAAGGGGAGCCAGACACCATTAGGTCCCTGCCTGTTTGTCCCTCCTGCTGGCACCCCATGAGAACACCACTTCCTGTCAAGAACAAGGAACCAGGTTGTAGATGTTTCTCAGGGTGTGCACTCTGGGTAAACTAGATCCAAATCTGCTAGTATTGAAATGGCTTATGCCATTTTTGCTTTGTATTGTTTCAGTTGTTACCAACATTTAAAAATTAAGGGATTTTACAAGAAAAATGGTTGGTCCTTTTGAAAACAATCCTTAATGCTAGGTAAATTCCCAGATTTCCATTGGACTAGTCTGTTTTCTGGTTTTTATTACTTAGTTTTTTTTTTTTTTGTGGGTTTTTGTTGTTGTTGTTTTCCAAGAAAGGATTTGACTGTGTAGCCCTGGCTGTCCTGAAACTCGCTCTGTAGATCAGGTTGGCCTTGGACTCACATAGACCCACCTGCCTCTGCCTCCGGAGTTCTGGGATCAGAGGTGTGCACCACCACAGCCGACTGTTTTCTGTTACTATAGAGAAGAAATAAGCTGCGACTGGGTCTTCTTAAGAAAAGCAGGCTAGCCGGGCGGTGGTGGTGCACGCCTTTAATCCCAGCACTCAGGAGGCAGAGGCAGGCGGATCTCTGTGAGTTCGAGACCAGCCTGGTCTACAAGAGCTAGTTCCAGGACAGGCTCCAAAACCACAGAGAAACCCTGTCTCGAAAACAACAACAACAACAAAAAGCAGGCTCAGAGCCCGGTATTGGATCTGCTTGACTCTGGTGATGTCACAGGGCAGGCAACTGAGTCGGGCGTGAGGATGCTCATTTTATCATTCACTTTCGTGAGAACCCAGGTCTTCTGAGACCCAAATTAACGCCTTCCAACAGTACCATCTCCAGTAACCTAGCCACTGCTGAACTCCTCTCAGCATTGCTGTGCTGGGGATCGAGCTTCCAGCACACGGGCTTTTGTGATGCACACTCGAGCCGTATCTAAATGCAGCACGTCCAAGCTAGTGTCAGTGGGAGCTGAGGCGCTGCTGTGGTCCATGCCAGAGGCTTGTGAGCATGGGAACTGCCCCTCCCTGTGTCTTTTGTTATTCAGCCATCCTCACAGGGCTAAGAGTGACTGGCAAGATTCAGCATCACCATTTACATCTTCTAAGACCCAAAGAGTGGGAGTCTTGAGCAGGGCCCTGGAAGGACTTGGTTGTGGGTTTGTGGGGTGCAAGCCTGCTCTTCCCTTGGGTCTGGAGTCTATCTCACTAAGAGTCCCTTCTGCTTCCTTGGGCAGATGCTGACCTTCATCATGCTGGCCCGGCTGGCCGCCCTCTGTCCTGCACCAGTCCTGCAGAGGGTGGACCGGCTCGTCGAGCCGCTCAGAGCCACCTGCACTGCCAAGGTATGCCTTGCCCCACCCTGCCTGAGCCCTGGAGTGCCTGGCAGGTCTAGTCCCTACTCACTGTGCCGTGTGTACTGATGTGGTATGCTGCTTCCATCATCCTGCTACTCTAGAATGTTCTCCTGTTACCAAGGGCTAGACAGCCTCACAGGCTCAGAGTCCTTCGTTAAAACCTCCTGGGTGCTGGCTGCACGATCCCAGCTGGGGAGCTGGGCCTGACCCCTGTGAATGATCCATTGATTTGATTGATTGGCTGGCTGCTCCATTCCTTATAGGGAGTGTCTCGGGTCTTGAGGGGAATCTGGGGTGAAGGTGTCATGGAAAGTTGTAATGTTGGTAACAGCCTGGCACACTCACTTCTGGGAGTTGTGTGTCTAGAGGTCAGAGGTTGACTTCAGTTGTCTTCCTTGCCACATTTTTTTTTCATGTGCTTTCACTTTGTAACCCTGGCTGTCTTGGATCCATGTAGACCATGGCCTAGAACTCAAGAGATCCACCTTCCTCTGCCTCCCAAGCGCTGGATTAAAGGTGTTTGCTACCACACCCAGCATTTTGTTTTTGTCTCTTGCTGAGCTGCTGGGTGCCCTTGAGCTGCAGGGATCTGCTTGCATCAGCTCCTATGTGGGATCTGAACTCAGGTCCTCTAGCTTGTACAGCAACTACTGAACCATCTCCCTAACCCCACCCATTGAGTTTTGAAAGGATAAGATTTAGCCAGGAAGAGGGCCAAGAATTTCAGTTTTAAGGAGAAACTCAAGAGTAGTGGTTTTGTTTTCCTTAAAAAAGCAAATTAAAATCTGAAAAAAAAAAACAACAACCAAAAAATAACTATGATCCATAGATAGACCTTAAAGCGATTCCCTCCTTCACCACTCTTGTCTTCCCCGTAGCTGGGACTACACCAGGCCCGTTATTTTTCTTTTTTCTTTTTTTTTTTTTTTTTTTGGTTTTTCAAGACAGGGTTTCTCTGTAGCCTTAGAGCCTGTTCTGGAACTAGCTCTGTAGACAAGGCTGGTCTCGAACTCACAGAGATTCGCCTGCCTCTGCCTCCCCAGTGCTGGGGTTAAAATCATATGCCACCACCGTCTGGCTATTTTTCATTTTCTTTGTGTGGGTGGGGAAGGGGAAGGGAGAGGAAAGGAGGACAAGAGACGAGAAGGGGAGACAAGACACAGACTCTCCTGTAGCCCAGGCTGGCCTTGAGCTCAACATAGAGCCAAAGATGACCTGACTTGTTCCTCCTGCCCGTGCCCCCACTGTTGGGCTTACGTGCTGTGTACCACTAGCCAGATTTATGTGGTGCAGGGACAGGTCCCTTTTTTCATCAAACCCAGGACTTTGTGCATGCCAGGTGAAGCACTCTGTCAACGAAGCCACATATCCAGCCCCAAAGTTGTGATTTTTTTCATGTAACACATTAGCAGATAAAGATGAAATCCATGTCAATCAGATTGAAATCAGGCCTTCATTAACCTGAAACCTGTGTGTTTCCAATGGGTGGCATGGCTCAGTAAGGACGCTGTCTCCCTCTGCAGGTCAAGGCTGGCTCTGTGAAGCAGGAGCTGGAGAAGCAGGATGAGTTGAAGCGCTCAGCAATGCGGGCAGTGGCTGCCCTGCTGACCAACCCCGAGGTCCGGAAGAGCCCCAGTATGGCTGACTTCTCTACCCAGATCCGATCCAACCCAGAGCTCACTACCCTCTTCGAGAGCATCCAGAAAGACTCAGCCTCTGGCCCCAGCATGGATTCTATGGAACTCAGCTAGCTGTCCCCACCACCAACCTCCCCTCCCACCCCAAGGGCCTCGGCCTCTCCTGTCCTTCCCAGCCAGCCTCAGTGCCTTCTAGGGCCCAGTGCCAGAGCTGGGCCCACTAACTCAGGACAGTCACTCACGCTGGGGCGATGCTCCACCACTTTTACACTGCACCCCAACCCCCAGTTCAGAGGCCAGCATCCGACTGTAGGGGTTGGCTTTCTACTTCACTCTGGACTCCAAATGCCAGAAATTAGCACCCTGGCCAAGGACAGGACTGTGTAGAGCCAGGCAAGCTCTGGGTCTGGGCCCGAGAAACTCAGAATGCCTCATTTCTAGTTAGTAAGAATTGTTTCCAGGGAAGATGGTGTGATCACTAGACAGGCTTGGGCCCGCTGTTTGAAACACCTCTCACGCCGGTTGTGGTGCACGCCTATAGGATTTGCTGAAGGAGGCAGAGGCAGGAGGATCATGAGTTTGAGGCCAGCTTGGGCAACACCTCTCACCTCAGCAACTAAAGTGTGTAGTGGTTTGTGTTCTTCCTGGGTGTGTAGTCGTTAGTACTGAAAATTCGAGCCTGACAGGCCAGAACCACCCCTAAACCCCCCCACCCCCAGGGCAGCATTTCTGTGTAATCAAGCTGGCCTAGAGATCCGCCAGCTTCTGCCTGGGATTAAAGGTGTGCCACTACCGGCTGAGGCCAGTTTTGTGATTTGAATTAAAGAACAGATGTAAGTCCTCACATGATTTTTTTTTTTTTTTTTTTTTGAGACAGGGTTTCCCTATGCAACAGCCCTAGGCGTCCTGGAACCCACTTCATAGACCAGGCTGGCCTTGAACTCACAAGAGACCTACCTGCCTGCCTCAGGTAGGCACCACCAAGCCCTGCTTCCTCATGATTATCCTGTTTCAAGTTTCCAGGCTGACTTGGTCCTGAAAATGCAAGAGCAAATGCTCCAGACCCATTACCCCAGCTGTTTAGGAGGCTGAGGCAGGATTCCAAGTTCAAGGTCATAATGAGCAATTTAGTAAAACCAAGTGTAAAAGCTACAGTCAAGAGAAATGGCTGTCACAGGAAGAGCACCCTTCCTCTTCAATTGACCTAGGTTCAATCCCCAGTCCCCATGGCAACAACTCCGGTCCCAAGGGATCTGAAGTCATCTCAGGGAACAGACATCCGTGCAGGCAAAACACCAGATTAAAATAGTTCAATGGAGCTGGGAGGGGGGGGTGCATGCCTTTAATCCCAGGCAGAAACTGGTAGATCTCCAGGCAAGGCCAGCCTGGTCTACAAGAGCTAGTTCCAGGACAGGCTCCAAAGCTACTCGAAAAACCAGCTCAATGGTGAAGCACTTGTCTGCCATGCACACTACCTTAGGCTCAACCCAGACTACAGCAAGAGGAAAAGTCCTTAAAACAACCAGTTCATGCCACAGCTATTTGTGGGGGATCAATAGGGCTGCTAGTAGTACACTGGGCATTCAATGGTGTTGTAAGGCATTTCAGTCCACAGGATCTAATCTAGAGCAGCCTCATTCTAAAGGTGACAGAAGAGAGGCTGCAATGCATTTATGTCCCTTGCCACAACCCCTCTTAACTTTAAACAGTGGAGGACTGTCTTAACTTTAAACAGTGGAGGACTGGAGACACTGCGTGTTACAGAACACCTTAAATCAAAAACCAGACTACCCCTCTGCAGCATCTCATGTGGCAGAAATACACCTGCCAGTTTCATGAATTCTCAATCACTGTGGCTGTCAGTCCCGAGTGAGGCTAAGCAGGAGCCCTGTTCCACAAAGCTTCCTCAATCACATCTTAGGACACGCTAACAGCTGTCCCCATACTCCTCACTCCATGGTTTCTTTGGCTCTGAATTCCCAATGTTGCAGACCCACAGTTTGCCAAGCCCTTTCTTTCCCCTCTTCCTCACACCATCTTTGAGCAACCAAGGCTAGTATGGGATTTCCTGAGCCCCGCTTGACTGCACAAATTGGAGGTTCCACCGGGGACTACGAAGGAAAGACCAATCTCCAAACGGGCAGAAAATACCAAGTCAGCAGTTTTTGTGGTTTTATTTAAACACAAATAAAACGTGCACGCAAGCCATCTACTCATTCTCTTCGCTGCGCAGCCTGGCGTTGGGATTGGTGACTCTGATGGCCAGCTGCGCTGCTCTTTCCACGATGGCTTTTCGGTTCTTGGAGGAAACATTGTGAGCAATCTCAGCACAGTAAGACCTGAAAGAGAAGCATGCCAGTGAGCAGGGAGCACGCCAGAAAAGGTCACCTGCCCCTTGCCTCCCACTCCTCCACCAGGTAGAGGCCCTGGCAAACGGCTCAATGAGCCCTGAAGGTACCAAGGCTTCTGCCATGGTCTATGGCAGTGACAAGACTTAACTGGTCCAGAGGGGAAGCTGGATCCTCACCAGCCTGAGGTTCTTCCCCACACCTGTGTGACTAACCCACAATTCTTCCACCAGGAGCCCAAAGGCTTCCATTGCAACCACTATGAGGAACACAGGCTCAAGTAGAGTGAGCAATAAACCCTGCCTGTGTTACCCCAGAGTGCCCATAAACTGTCCTGATGAGCACATTCCCAGTAATGGAAGTGACCACGAAATCCCAGACAGGCAGCTGGACAGCAAACCCTGAGTCCAGACAGACCCCTCACTTCACAGAGTTACAACACTGGAGGTTATATCTGGGGGGACAGAGCCAATTACCCCTTTGATCATGAAGCCCATGTACCTTGCTTCTTGCATCCATAAACCATAAGCAGCACACACCCACCATGACTCTACCATCCAGAAACTTTGTTTTCAGTGGGTTTTTCTATTGCAACTGCTTTTCAACTTCCCCCTTCTCAGTTACACGGGGAAATGCCCAGAGAGTATGCAGTGAGCAGGTGCACCTGCTGGCTTTGATAAACAATGCCAAGCTGCTCTCAGGCAGATGAGGTGTATTCACAAGAAATGCAGCACCAACAGCACTGCACCCACAGAGACAGAACACTGCCACATGGACACCCAGCCACCAACCTGCCTTCTGTACAGAACTCCAAATGCTGACTCCCTCCATCTGCCTTCCAACCACCTCAGAGAACATATCCTTATTGTCTGCATATCCTAATGGTCCTTTTCTCAGCTCCAACATACCTGCATCACTGTGCAAATGCCTTTATCACAGCAGAGCCAAGCAAGGCTAGACTCCTTCCTCATCTCACACCACTACAGCTGGGTTCCAGACAGGACCATAAACACGCGGAACACCCACTGCATCAAGGGAGCCCCTCCCTCTTCTCCTGTTTCAGGTCTCAAACCTGAGCACACATGCCCCACTCACAACCAAGGCAACATTTGGACTCCCTAACGAGCATCCTCTAAGCTCCCACAAAGAGCATGCCCACTCCTACCCAGGCCAGAGCCCAACTCACTTGTTGCACATCAGCAGCACTTCCAGCTCCTTGACGTTGTGGACCAGAAACTTCCGGAAGCCGCTAGGCAGCATGTGCTTGGTTTTCTTGTTGCTCCCATAACCAATGTTGGGCATCAGGATCTGGCCCTTGAATCTTCTCCGCACCCTGTTATCAATACCTCTGGGTTTTCGCCAGTTTCGCTGAAGACACATAGGCAAGTTAGTCTCTGCGAACTGCCAGCTCTTACTTGGCAGAAGGGGGCTAAATTCAAAGGGGATATGCCATACAGAGGGCACACTTGGTAACATTGCCTTCCTACTTCTTTATACACTTTAACATGCATGGGGTCTCTGTGTAGCCTGGCTGTCCTGAAACTCGCTCTTTAAGCCAGGTTGGACTTGAACAGAGATCCACTTGCCTCTGCCTCCTCAGTGCTGGGATTAAAAGCCTGCACTTCTTTACACACTTTTAACAACAAAAAACCCTAAAAGCTCCCAAGGCTGTGGCTCAGACAAACTTCCAACAAAACCAAACCTTCCTATACCTATCACAAACTCAGACACACATGGGTCAAAATAAGACAGGACTGTGTGTCCAGTACAATGACTGCACACTTTCTAAAGACCCAAGTTTTCTGCCCCACAAAGCACACACACCAAAGGCTGAGGGTGTGACTGACTCAGTTGGTACAACTTTGGCATGCATGAAGCCCTGTTCTCCACCCCGAGCACTCAGACCGGAATTCAGCAGAGCTTTTCATTTGTGATTGTTTCAGAGAAAAGAAAAAAAAAAGGCGGGGCCCTGCCTAAGACAGAGGCATCAGGTAAGAGTCGGCTGTGTGAGCCCAGCCAGCCAGCGACTGGTGACCCCTGGGCCCAGTGAGAAGTCCTGCCTCATAGAATAAGATAAGATAGACATGGGGCTGGAGAGATGGCTCAGCAATTAAGAGCACTGGCTGACCTTCCAGGGAACCCAGGTTCAATTCCCAGCACCCACATGGCAGTTCATAACTGCCTGCAACTCCAGTTCCAGAGGACCTGACACAGGCACACATGCAGGAAAAAGAACAATGCAATTAAAAGGTTTACAAGGGAAAAAAGCACACTGACTGCTCTTCCAGAGGTCCTGGGTTCAATTCCCAGCACTCCCATCTGATATGCAGGCAAACACCCATTCGCATAAAATATATACATAGACAAATATATCTTAAAAAAGCCAGGTGCAGAGATGGTTCAGAAGTGCCTGCTGCCAAGCCGACAACCCAAATCTGATCACATGGACTCACATGATGGGAAGGACCGTCACACACAGGAAAAATGTCATTTTAAAAGCAACTTTAGGGGCTGGAGAGATGGCTCAGTGGTTAAGAGCATTGCTTGCTCTTCCAAAAGTCCTGAGTTCAATTCCCGGCAACCACATGGTGGCTCACAACCATCTGTAATGAGGTCTGGTGCCCTCTTCTGACTTGCAGACATACACACAGACAGAAAATAAATAAATAAGCAAGCAACTTTAATCAATGGACTGCCCAGAACAGGCGACACCAGAAATGTGTGCTTAAAACTTAACCTCCGCACTCTCTTCCCCCCAAGAACGCACACGTACCTTAATCTTGACATATCGGTCTGACTGGTGCCGGATGAACTTCTTGGTCCTCTTTTTGACGATCTTGGGCTTCACCAGAGGCCGGAGGGCAGCCATGATGCCTATAAGAGGCAGATCCACGTTATCGAAGAACCAGGGAGGGGGAGCTGCTTGACCAAGGCCTGAGTGATGTTGCAGAGTGTCTTCCAATCACCAGCTACTGAGCCAACTGGGAATGGAATGGGTACCTCTGCTAGGCTTGTTCTCCCTCCTGTTTCCGAAGCTGGCAGAATACTAGTCACTCTCCAGACGCGATCTCAAGAGGTCGGGGTCACCTCAGCCATTTCGACCTCAATGAATGGCAGCAGCGGACCTATCACCTGCAGCAAGCCCCTCTGGTGGGCAAGGGGCAGAAAATCCCACCCCACTAAAGCTCCACAACCAAGCGGTCGTTAAGCTGGACCACCCTTCCGACACACCACCAGTGTGTCCCTCCCGGATCGCCTCGGGGCGCCAACAGAAAGGTTCCTTCTCTGTTCCCTCCACAACCTGCTTTGTCGGGCACGTACTAAATACCCAGCGAAAACACGCTCAGCCGTCATCTCTGCTCCCTGGCACCTCGGAGGCCGGAGAGCGGCGGGGAAACGGCGTGCGGCACCCCAAGTCCACCGGCCGCATGGCGCAAACCGGCCCCGGTTGCTGCCTGGCCCTAGGCGGACTCTGTAGCAGCGCGAGCGGCCAGTAGGCCCGGCCCGTGCGCGCTCGCCTCTGCGGCGCCGGCGCCGAGTCCGACGCCGAGGCTGCCCCACCTAGCGATGCTAAGGCCTCTCCTCCCGCCGACCGGGCCGTGCCGAGCCCACAGACGGGCGGATGGCCGGCGATGCACACTCACCACAAAGGAGATGGCAGCCACCTCGCAGGTAGCGCCGAGGAAGAAGGAAGGGGCGGTGACGCGCAAGGGGTGATGGGAAGGAGCCTCAGGTCCTGGAAGGGAAAAGTGAGGCACTTCCGGCTCTGGGTTCGCCAAAGGACCCTAAGATGTCTCTCAGAAGTAATGCTGGACAAAGCAAACCAATGTACTAGAGTTCTCTAGTAGACATTAACATCTTGGAATGAAGTAAAAATGTATCTTTCTCTTGGGACTACTTAAGAAATTTGGAATTCTTTCTGAGATAAGACCTGCGTGGTGAGCACCTACTTCCGCCCGAAGTGGAAGCTCAATCGGTTTTTAATATGTTTACTTTGGAGTGCGCCTCCTAGTGGCTAGGAGGTCGCAAACAGATACTTTGACGGATTCCCCAAGGGCCAGTTGAGCAACCTTCCTAAAACCTCAGAATATATAAATGCTCAAACCTCTGGACTGTGAAGTGCTACGGAGCCTGCCCGCATCTTTCATATGTTTTAAATGATCTCTCATTGTGGTACGTCCCTAGGGCAATGGATTAATAAGTGCTAGATTGATATATTGCTTAGGAAATAATGACAAGAGAAGCACCTGGGACGCAGAGGCAGGCCGATCTCTTTTAATTCAACGCCTTGGGAGTTCCAGGCCAGCCAGAGGTACATCCTGAGACACACACACACACACACACACACACACACACACACACACAGAGTCTGTGAACTTAATACAGATGCAGTTTTACTTTCAGCTATTCTCATTCTTCAGTTGGTTGAACTGTGAAGGCACCTGCGGGACTAGGGCTAGGGAGGGCCAACTTTATATCTAAAATGAAGCTGTGATAGCTAACCCTCCACGGCAGCGTACGTCCTTGCCACGGCTGTACGAGGAGACTCCGGTCTTTCCTTCGTTTGTTATGCACGGGAAGTGATTCTGGGAGAAGTGCCTCCAACCATTCAGCTGCCTTGCTTTAAAATTGTTCCTGGTCTATTTTGCTTAGTTTTTGTTTTTCAGATCAGTGTGAAAAATCTAATTTTAGGAGGATAGAAAACCAAACCAAGGGCTGGAGAGATGGCTCAGTGGTTAAGAGCACTGGCTGCTCTTGCAGAGGACACGGGTTCAGTTCCCAGTGCCTACAAGTTGCCTCACAAACGTGTAACTCCAATCCCAGGGGATCTAGTGCCCTCTTCAGTAAGCACTACATGCATGTGCACATACACATACATACAGGCAAAACACTCAAGCACATAGAATAAATGTTTCTCTGTGTAGCCCTGGCTGTCCTGGAACTCATTCTGTAGACCAGGCTGGCCTTGAACTCAGAGATCTTCCTGCCTCTGCCTCCTGAGTGCTGGGATTAAAGGCATGTACCACCACCACCCGTCAAGAATAAATCTTTTTTTAAAAAGTTAAAACAACCTTGATTGTACAACAGAACAGATGTCACTGGCGATCTTGACAGGAGTTGGGGACAGATACTAGATTGGATGTTTGGCCCCGACAGAAAGTCGGGATGAGAGCGGGAATGCTGACCACTCACTCCGAGGTGCTGCCTGGAAAGGAGAGCAGAGACCCAGAGAAGTAAAGTATCTTTACTTCTGAGACGGCCAGCTAGCAAGAAGCTGGGTGGGACTGGAGCTCTCCTGTGCCGGTGGCTCGCCCGCCCTTTCCAAGGGCTGCTTATCTTACAGGCTGCTGAAGTCAGTGGCCCTTGAAACATGGAAGTGCGTAGCTGATGGCAGCTTACAGAATACATTTCACAAAGCGGAGAGTCTAGCGAGTGAATCATAGGGAAGGCCCATGAGCCAGAGTATGGCTCTGATTTCTGAAGACCCACAGGGTTTGGGGGCCTCGATCTCATGGGGAGGTGAGAGCTGCTGCTACCTCATTTTACGGAGGACACTCCGTCTGTTGCACCCCTGTGGGCACTGGTGTCCCAGGATGAGAGGTGGGAGGTGTCCTGGGGAATCTGTGTCTCGCATACACCTTCAAGTTTCCCAGCCCTGTAGTTGAAAATCAGTTCAGCTAGGCTACAGGTCAGCTCTAACCCGGTTTATTTCAGAAGGGCAGAGGTCATGACAGGGTAGACACACCCACACTCCCAGGCACTGGACACTGGCATCAGGGGACACAGCTCCAGACCGTCCCTGGGAATGTTTCTTTTGTATGGCTCTTTGATCTCTCATGTCTGCAGCTGTGGGCCCCTGGCTGCCCGTCTTCTGGCCCAGCAGCCCCCAGGCCACTCTAGTTGATGGAGTACACCTTGTTTGCATCGTAATAAGCATGGGTCATATAAGCCCAGTCCTTCATGGGCCACCAGTCTTTAGAGTGGTACTTGGCCGGGTAAGTATGGCACGTACGTTGCACACAGCTGAAGATTGCCTGGCTCTGGTCCCTGGCCACAGTGGGCAGGTAGAGCCGCAGCTTGTCCACAAGGTGACCAGGCCAGAAGTAATTGGGGTGGGTGTATGAGGGACCACTGATCCTCTTGGCCTTCAGCTTCCTGGAAAAGGAAGACACAGGGAAGGTTGCTGTGACAGGGAGACCAGGCAGGGCTCCTTCTCAGCAGATCACGTGGGCTGTGAGCATCCTCTGCAGAGTGGAAAGCACTGCACACCTCAGGTCTCCTCACAGTGAGGACCCAGAGGTCTGGAAGTCAAGGTCACGCATCCAGTGAGTGGCTAAGTTCAGGTCCCAGTCATTGCTTCTGAAGTCCAAACTTAATGTGTGCGGTTCTTGCGCTAGATCAGTGGTTCTCAACCTTCCTAAGGATGCGACCCTTTAATACAGTCCCTCATCTTGCAGTGACCCCCCAACCATTAAATTATTTTTGTTGCTACTTTGTAACTAAAATTTTGCTACTCTTATGAATCATAATGTAAGTATCTGTGTTTTCCAGTGTTCTTAGGTGACCCCTGTGAAAGAGTCGTTCAATCCTCTAAGGGGTCATAGCCCACAAGTTGAGAACCACTGTTCTAGAGGATTTGCCCCTCCCTGTTCCCTCCACCTCACCTGTCCCGTGCAGTGCTGGGCCTAAAACCCAGGGCCTCACATGCTCTGGTACCCAGCAACTAAGCTACACCCAGCCCCGGCGGGAAGCATTTGGATATCATGTCTGGAATCTAGCCTCAGGAGGCATCCTCGCTGGGTTCAGCTGCACATGTGGGGCTGTGTGTCGGTATCCTCTCCTATAACTGGGACGTCCAGAGCAACTCAGGCTTGTTGGTGACAACGTAGATGAGTTCACTCATAGGAGGCCCCAGCGCAGACCTGCCTGACTCCCCGCAACAGTCCTAGGATCTCGTCCCATGTGCACAGGTCTCCTAGCTGCCTCTCCTCTCCACCCCTGCCCTCCCAGCAGACACACAGGACCACTACAAACCCCGTAAATTCCTCGAACTCCTTGAAGTGCATTTCCTTGAGTTTCTCTGATGTTTTCCTAGCGGGGAATAGAGAGAGGCATTATTAGGAGAGAGAAACTCCAGGAGCTGGGCCGTGGTGGCACAGACACCTTTAATCCCAGCACTTGGGAAGAAGAGGCAGACGGATCTCTGAGTTCGAGGCCAGCCTGGTCTACAGAGTGAGTTCCAGGACAGTCAGAGCTACACAGAGAAACCCTGTCTTGAAACAAAAAACAAAAAAAAGAAACTCCAGGAATAGTCAGCTTTGGGGAGCAGGTGGGGGCCAATAAGGCGTGCGTTTCTAAGTCTCAGACCGGAGCGCTGAACTTCTTTGTTTTCTGGTAAGGCCCTAGCCATGTCTCCATATACCAAGGCATTGGGCTTAGCCAGGTTGGTGGAGGGTGGAAAACCTTGACTTCTTCATCTGTGGGAGGGAGGCCTCCGAAATAGCTGATATGTTCAGCAACTGGTAGACGCTAAAGCCCAACTCCCGCTCCCCCTTCCAGAGGCCAAGCTTAGTGAGACAAGCGTGGTAAAGACTCACCCGCCATGCCTTACCCAGCATGCATTACTAACTGATCACCGATTCCTTCCCAAGCCCACATATGGCTCAGAATCTCTGGTTTTTTTTTTTTTTTTTTTTTCTTCCAATGCAAAGGATTGAACTCTGTGCCTTGTATACTCTCTACCCCGAGTGCCTGGCCTCAGGATCTTTTACAGTCTGCCCCCTAGTGGTGAGACAGAGCCAATGTCCCTTTAGCGAGGGACCACTCTTTCTCTTTTATACCTGTGGCTGGCCAAACACAACCAAAAATCTCTTTCCTGGATAGCCACCCACTTCCTGGGTTCAAGGCTTAGGAATTGGTGACAGTCAGCCACAGGCTAGAAGGGACACCTCAGAGGCTCTCTAAGCTACTGCCAGCCTGGGTCACGCTCAGCACCTTGCAGGCCACAACTGTCGTGGGCAGACTGCCCCAGTACTCAGAAAACCACTAGAAGTGCAGCGTGACTCATCAGCCACCCTGTGGTCCTTGTCTGATCCTCGTGGTGTGAGATAGTCTTCATCCACTTTGTACATGGAGACGCTAGGGCTCAGGGTGCAGTAGCCTGGCCATTGACTAGAAGCACTGGAGCCTGCCCAGGCATTCTGCCACACCACCCCATCCCTCTGCAGGGTGCTGTCTCGTTCTCCCCTCTGCAGGCACGACTCTTGTTAGCCACAGTAGTTGCCCCCTGCTTAGTCCACCTCTGATGGGAGTGTAGGGGGACCTGACTTGGGCTCACTTCAAAGGAAGTTAATTTCAGAGAACTCAGGCTAGTCTAAGGGTCAGGACGGCCTTTCTTCCCCCCCCCCCCCCCCAGGGGAAGCCTATCTCTTGTTGGAGTGTGCCTGCCACAGGGTGGCAGCGCAGGGAAGGAATTAGTTTCAGCTTCTGCCACCGGGTAGGCTGAACACCCTCTTTCGGTCTTTTCCACTGACCTTATGAGTGTAATAAGCCTGTGGTCAGGAGGGTAGCCTGCAGTCCTAAGACATGCACTAAGGGTGACATTTGGGACTGGCGAGTCAGAAGTGACTAGAGAGGGGCACAGACGCTGGCACTACATGACACCACATGCGTGCCCGTGTCCTAGTCCCTGCAGCTGAAGGGTCAGCCTGAGACTCAGCTTGTCTGTCTTCTTCGCCCCGAGCTTGTGGAGGCCCCGGGTCCCAAATCCAGCCAGGCTGTGGACAATCCTCTCGTCTATATAGTAGCCCCCAGGCTGCCGGATCGGGCGGACTTCTTCTTTCAGAGTAATTATCTTGTCTCCTGGATACAGGAGCGCTGTGGGCAGCAAGGAAGACAGCAGACCCATTAGCCAAAGTTGCCTACTTTAGGGTCACATGGGAATGACTAAAAAAAAAAAAGTTCACACTTCTATTTAAAGATTATTTTTTCTGAGCCATCGAGATGGCTTGGCGAGCAGAGAGGCAAAGTGCATGTGTGGGAGCCCGTTCTCTCTCCGTTTCTGTGAGTCTGGGGACTGCACTTGGTCGTGAGACTTGACGACGAGCGCCTTTGCCCGCTGAGCCGTCTCACTGGCTCTCAGCTTTGTAACATTACACACACTTGCTTATTTATTCTCTCTGTGTGTATGTGTCTATGAGAGAGAGAAGGGAGAAAGAGAGAGAAAGAGAGAGGACAACTTGTGGGGCTGGAGGAGCTGGCTCTCTCTTCCCACTAAATGAGTCCCAAGAATTGGACCTGGGTCATGAGACTTCCCATCAGAGGCCTTTGCCTGCTAGGCTGTCTTGCCAGCCCAACACTTTATTTTTGGATGTTTGTGGGCTCATTGGAAATTGCAAAACACAATAGGGTATAGAGTTCCCCCGAACTTTCCCTCCCACAGCTCCCTGTAATGATCCAGTTCAGTATCAGAAGGGACCTTAGACAACCCTGCTCACCAGGGGATGGAGCGAAACCAGTCTGTACCAGCAAATTCGGGTGGTATTACTTAGCAAGCCTAGGTTGGAGGCAGGAAGATTCAACCAGACTTTACTAGGTTAATTAGACTTACTTATGCATAAGTGTGCTTGCATGAATGTGTGTGTTCAAGTATGTGGGGGGGGGCATAAGCAAGCAATCTACCACTAAGCTCCATTCCCAGCCCTTAGAACTACTTTGTTAACTTTTTTTTTCCCTTGGTTTTTCAAGACAGGGTTTCTCTGTGTAGCTTTGGCCGTCCTGGAACTTGCTCTGTAAACCAGGCTGGCCTTGAAGTCTCAGAGATCTATCTACCTGCTTCTGCCTCCAGAGTACTAGGATTAAAGGCGTGCACCACCACCGCCTGCCTGGCCTTTGTTAACTATTTTGATGGCAGTTTTCTCATGGTTTTGAGTTTGTCGTGTGTGTGTGCGTGTGTGTGTGTGTGTGTGTGTGTGTGTGTCTACATTTCATATGGGTGCATGTACAAGCGTGTGGAGGCAGAGCTCCTAACCCAAATCCTCCCCAACTGCATCTCACCTAAGGAGCCCATGTGTTTCAGAATCCAGCAGTCAGGCCATCTGCCTTCCCTCCTCCTCCCCAGTGTTCCCACCAAAGGCCACAGTGGCTTGGCATGTATGGGGAAGCCAGTGTCAGGCCAACACTACATTAGCCATGGCTCAGGCCTCGGGCTCTCCCTCGAAGCAAGCCCCTACCTCTCATGAGGATGTCTTCAGTCAGCGAGATACCGTAGGACTCACAGAGTTCCCAGCACTGCAGGTAGACCAGGAAGTTATCCGTGCGGGTCATATTAATCAGCTCCTCCATCTCCCCAGAAATGGTGGACGGTAGGCAGTGATCATCAAAGGACTTTGTCCCAGAACGAACCAGGCGGCATCTCTCCACGTATTGGATAGAGGGGAGACAAAGCTGCAGGAGAGGAGAGGATGTCTCTGTGACCTTCATCCTGGCTGCAAGGCAGCAGCACCTCCTCTGCCTCCGTCTGAGAGACCCCCGTTCCCCGTGAGGCTGCAGCTCAGGTTCAAAGGCAGCAGCTTAAAGGTCAAGGTTACCCCTCTGAGGTAACCCCTGAGGGGCTCTGAGCACTAGGCACCAGAGTCCTGGGAATACCGCCTCATACCGGATGTGCCCACGTGGCTGTAATAGCTGTAAAAAAGACACAGTAGCAGTAGAGCCCCAGAAGTGTCCTGTTGAAAAATAGCCTGAGTCTCTGGAGACTCTAAATCAGGTCTAGCCACGTGTGTGTGTGTAATCCTGAGGTAGAAGCCACCTCGCAGTGTGGAGGGGCTGAGAAGTGTTACCCACTGGCTGCCTTTACCTTCTCTCTCTCTCTCTCTCTCTCTTTTTTTTTTTTTTTTTAAGACAGATTCTCAATATGTGGCTCTAGCTGGCCTGGAACTCACTGTGTAGACCGGGCTGGCCTCAAACTCACAAAGAATCTGCCTGCCTCTGCCTCCCAAGCACTAGGATTAAAGGCGTGTGTCTCATTTGGATTTTTTTTTTTTTGAGACAGGGTCCTTCTATGTAGTCCAGGCTGGTCTCAAACTCATAATCCTTTGACTAGACTTCCTGGGTGCTGGGATGATAGGGGTGTTTCATTACACCCAGCTGCATACTGCACAGATGACAGACAGGGGCTGAGGGGAGGTGAGACCCTCACCTCAGTCAGTGCCTAGTCTTGAATCCTGGCCTGCCCAGCCCCCTAAGCCTGTGCTAAAGAGGTACCTTGTTTTGCCTCCGCCTCTCTCGGTACCGCTTGCCCACATCCTCCATGTCCTCGTCTGTCATGGGCCGCCTCTCCATCTTTGTATCAACCTCAGGTACCTTTAGCAGGTCCATCTTGGGGGGCTGTGGGGTTGTGACAGCCTGCCGCTTTGGGGGGTAACGCTTCAGGGATGCTCTCTTCCTAGTCAGACTGAAATCTAGAATTGGAAGAAAAGATGGAAAGACTAAGAGGGCGCCCAGTGGTGGAACTCAGCCTAATGCCATTGAGCAGATGCCAGCAAGCTCTTCTGCCCCCTTCCCATATGTCCAGCCGGTGCCCACCTGAAGGGCACTGCGAATTTGTCCCCTCCACTGCTATGAAGTCCCCCATCTGCCTACCCCACACCCCTTCCTGCTCCTTTCTCACTCATTCTTGCCACCTTGTTCCTACCAAGCGGCAAACCCTTATATCATGGTAGCCAAGCATGGTGGCGCGCGCCTTTAATCTCAGCACCGGGGAGGCAGAGGCAGGCGGATCTCTGTGAGTTTAATGCCAGCCTGGTCTACAGAGTGAGTTCTAGGACAGCTAAGACTGTGACACAGGGGAAAAAAGATGTCTCCAAAAACAAAAGCAAACAAAAATGTAAACAAGATCAACTCATGATCCCGTCTTCCCAGGGAACTCAGACTCATTTCCCTGGACCACAAAGACCTGCTGGAATCTGTTTCAGCTGCCATCCCTCGTCCTGTAGTCATCCCTCACCCATGCCACACTCACTTCCTGTACCCGTCTCAGGCCCTTGACCTGGGCAGTTCTGCCAGCCTTGGGTCCCTCTGCAGACACTGACGGTGCAGACCGACACCTACCACTCAGGGGCTTTATCTGACTACCATCCTGGCCCTCCCTCCAGTTGTCTCCCAGGCATCCATCCCTGCGGACATCACCTTGTCACGTGCCAGCAGATGGCGGCAGGGTTTGGACTAGTCCACTGCAGTCTCCCAGTTCCCACAAGTGGGCCTAGCTTTTGGAAGATACTTCTAAAACGGGGACCAATGAAAGGATTCGGACACCATGCCATCATCCTGGTGGCAGCCTCATGCTGAGGTGAAATCTTGGTCTCACCTCCTCCTGAGACTCCAGACAAGAAGTTCAGCCTCTCTGGACGTTTGCTTATGCCATGGAAACCAAATGTATTGACCTTAACCTCCAGACAGGCAGGATACTGTGTTGTGCAAATGTGACCAGTCCATATGGTGCCCGGGAAATGCAGGTTCCTCCTCTTCTTTGAGTCTAGGTGCCCAGAGGCTTGTTCTTTTAGATAAACCAAGAGACCACTAAGTCTACCTGTCTTGTCCACTGCCACCCTCCAGAAGCATGTGTACTGACTATGCTGAAGTAGCACCAGCCAACAGATAAATGCTGCCCGCCTCCAAGTCAGGATAAGGGGGATTTTTTAAAAATATTTATTTGTTTGTTTATTTATTTATTTATTTATTATGTATACAATATTCTGTCTGTATGTATGCCTGTAGGCCAGAAGAGGGCACCAGACCTCATTACAGATGGTTGTGAGCCACCATGTGGTTGCCGGGAATTGAACTCGGGACCTTTGGAAGAGCAGGCAATGCTCTTAACCACTGAGCCATCTCTCCAGCCCCAGGGGGATTTTTTTATAAGCATGGTGGGGGGGCCATCTGTGTGTTGACATCCTTTGACTATAGACAGCTATTATTGCTGAGTGCTGTGCTCCAGCGGCTCCAGCTAGCTGTGAGATCACAGCAGCTCTGGGCATTCATAAGACTGGGAGGTGCGGGGGTGGAAGAGTGCAACCCAGAGGAGGAGCTGACCCTGGGCCATCAAAGCTGTAGGGGTGGGGGTGGGGGGTGAAAGGAGCTGGAAGCTGGGATAAGGAGTGTTGCAGCTGCCAGTGGTTCCCCTGCCTCCGTCCAACAATAATAAACTAAAAAAGAAGAGGACCTGAGGGGTATCAATTAGTTGGTAAAGTGCTCACCTAATGCACTAGTCTCTGAGTTTAGCACCAGCACCACATAAAAACTAGGCATGGTGGCATATACCTGTATCCCGGCATTTGGGAGGCAGAGGCAGGCAGATCTCTGTGAGTTCGAGGCCAGCCTGATCTACAGAGTGAGTTCCAGGCCAGTCAGAGCTGTGTAGAGAGACTGTGTCACAAAATGAGCAAAAAGATACAGGCATGTGTTGTAAATTCGTGGCCCACATATTAGAGAGTCCTTTCTCGTTTGTCTCTTGCTGCTTTTGGACAGATGTAGCCCACAAGCACGTGAGGGTGAACGGAACGATCACAGCCTCCCTGCTTACAACATCCGTGATGACAGAAAGCCCACACCAGCTAACTCCAAATGTCTTCGTTCAGTTTCCAAGCAACACATTTTAGTTAACCTTTCCCTTTTTGTTCCTTTACTTTCTCAGATAAGGTCTCCTGCATCGCACACTAACCTCAAACACTCTACATAGCCAAGGATGACCTTGAACTTCTGATTCTCCCACTCTACCCGACTGCTAGAATTGTGGATGTGTGCCACCATGCTTGGTGTATGCAGTGCTGGGGATGGCATCCAGGGCTTTGAACACGCTAGACAAGCACTCTGCCAACTGCCCTGCATTCCCAATCCTGTTTGTTTTAAATCAATCATTCATGTCCCTCTAAGGACAGAGGCTGGGCCCTTGAGAAAATGTCTGCTTCCTCATTGACAAAGCTTGGCAAACCTATGGCAAGCCAGAGGAGGAGGTGCCACTTGAGGATGTAAATGCTGGGGAGAGCCAGCCTGACTCTGAGGGCAGAGAGGACACGCACACTCCCTGGCAGTGGGCATGGTACTTTTCTGCTGGGACAGTGACCACTGCTTGTAGGTGCTGGCCAAGGCATCGATGGTGATGGCGTTCTGCTTCCCGAGAGTGCCGAGGTAGATGACGATGTCCTCCAGCTCCTGGTTCTTCAGAGGAACTCCAATCTGTGGAGGCACAAGAGTGTACTGAGGCCCACCTCACCCTTACCAACAGGCTTGGCCAACCGGCTCAACCTCCAACTCCTTGCTGCCACAGGAGCGCAGAACCTTGCCAGATCCTCAAGTGTACTCTGCAATTTATCATGTCCTGGTTTTGCCCACGCAGCTCCCTCCTTCTGCCTCAAAAACTCCTATCCCTCCTTTAACACCTAGGCCAGATAGGCCTCCATTTTTACTAAGTCTTTTTCAGTTGATTAACATACTAGATAGGATAAAAGTCATACACCCATCTTTCTCCATGGGGAACAAGTATGCCTGCCCCGACCGAAGTATCAGAGACCTATACATCTTTTTCTTTTGAGGATGTGATGGTTATTCTTGTTGTCAACTTGACTACATCTGGAATTAACTTGAGTTTACCCCAACTCAACTGGGTACACCTGTGAGGGATTTTTATTAATTGAATCATTTGACGTGGGAGGATACACAACTAATCCAGACCTTTTGAGGTAGGAAGATCCACCTTTAATCTGGGCCACACCTTCCCTGACAGCCTATATAAAGGACGTGGAAGAAGGAAGCTTGCTCTCTCTCTGCCTGCTTTCCCTTGCTCTCACTGGTAGGTCTATTCCTTCACTGACTTTAGAGGCTACTTCTTTCTTTGGAATTTTGGCATATACCGAAGACCAGCTGAGATGCCCAGCCTTGCGGACTGAACAACCACTGGATTCTTGGACCTTCCATCGGGAGACTGTTGGAATAGCTGGACTATAACCTGTAAGCTGCTCTAACAGATACCGTACATATGTATATATTGCTCAGTTCTGTTTCTCTAGAGAACCCTGACTAATACAAAGGACAATAGACAACCCTGGAGGTATGCAGTGCCTACCAGAAACACCAAAGGTTTAGAAAGAAAAGTTTGAAAGGAAACATAATTGTGAGTATAATTTTGTCTCGTTATTCTCTTTAGACAATAGTTAGTCATTGTTGAACTGTCCTTGGTCCAGCTCAGAACTGTCCTAGTGCTAAAGGACTTCATATTTAAACATTTTAAAAAGATTAGCCAGGTGTGATGGCTCATACATTTAATCCCAGCATTTGGGAGACAGAGACAGAAAGATCTCTGTGAGTTCAAGGCCAGCCTGGGCTCCAGTGAGTTCCAGAACAGCCAGGGCTACACAGAGAAACCTTGTCTTGAAAAAAATTTTATGTATAGAGTATTTTGCCTGTATGTATGTAAGTGCACCATATGCATGCCCAGTGTCCAAAGAGGTTCAACAAGGGTATCAGATACCTGGAACTGGAGTTGCAGGGGATTGTGAGCTGTTGTGTGGCTGTTGGAAACCAAACCTCGGTCCTTTGAAAGAGCAGTAAATGGTCTTAACTGCTAAGCCATCTCTCCCAGCCCAGGATTTAATATTATACTGATTTTTTTTGTTTTGGTAGTTGAAGACATTTACTTTTAAAAAAATGTTTTGGATGTTCATATAATTATATTTCATAAAAATGTTTGAACATTGGTTAATTGAAACAGTAAGTCAGGATATTGTTCAGTAGTAGCAAGCTTGCTAGGATATGCAAGGTGCCGAGTTCACGCCCCAGCTGGAGAGACCAAAGAAGACCTAGAGAAATAGCTCAGCAGGTAAGAATGGGTGCTTCTCTTGCAGAGGACTTGACTTTGGCTCCTAATACCCACATCTGGCTGGCTGTTCACAGACATCTGTAACTTCAGCTCCAAGGACCTGATGCCCTCTTTTGGCTTCTGCAGGCTCCAACACACATGTGCACATGTTCTCACACAGGCGCACACATACACATAATCAAAAATAAGAAAAAAATGGGGGGAGGGGCTGGAGAGATGGCTCAGAGGTTAAGAGCACTGGCTGCTCTTCCAGAGGTCCTGAGTTCAATTCCCAGCAACCACATGGTGGCTCACAACCATCTGTAAAGAGATCTGGCACCATCTCCTGGTGAGTATATATATAATAAATAAATTAAAAAAAAGAAAAAAGAAAAAAATGGGATCTGGCCAGTGGTAGCAAACACCTTTAATACCGGTACTTGGGAGGCAGAGGCAGATGAATCTCTGTGAGTTAAGAAGAGGCCAGCCTGGTCTACAGAGTGAATTCCAGGACAGCCAGGGCTGTTACACAGAAAAACCCCAAACAAGCAAACAAATAAATAAATGAATAAAATTTAAAAGAGGGTAGGAGAGTTGGCAGCAGTTAAGAGGGCTCACTGCTCTTGCAGAGGACCTCAGTTCCGTTCCTAGCTCCTATGTGGTGGCTCACAACCATCTGTAACTCCAGTTCTAGGGGATCTGATGCCCTCTTCTGGCCTCTGAGGTCACTGCAGCCATATGGTGTGAATTAGGCAGAAGTTCATAGGCAGGAAATACATGTGAATAAATCAATTAAAAAGATATAGGTGCTGGGCGATGGTGGCGCACGCCTTTAATCCCAGCACTCAGAAGGCAGAGGCAGGTGGATCTCTCTGTGAGTTCAAGGCCAGCCTGGTCTACAGAGTGAGTTCTGGGACAGTCTCCAAGGCTACAGAGAAACCCTGTCTCAAAAACAAACAAACAAAAGTAATACAAAATAAAATGTAACAATGTCTGCTTTTTTTTTTTTTTTTTTTGGTTTTTCGAGACAGGGTTTCTCTGTGGCTTTGGAGCCTGTCCTGGAACTAGCTCTTGTAGACCAGGCTGGTCTCGAACTCACAAAGATCCGCCTGCCTCTGCCTCCCGAGTGCTGGGATTAAAGGCGTGCACCACCAGCGCCCGGCACAATGTCTGCTTTTTAAGGGCATTGATGTGAGCCACAGTATTATACAGTAAATGTACAGCTGACAGATTCACCGACAAACCCGCAAGTGTACCACTTATGGGGAACCCGATTTGCAGAGCTTCGGGAACACTTGTCTTTTGGATAGTCACTGTCAGTTCTGTAAAAATCTTGTGAAAGCATGACATTTCTCCCTTCCATAGTGGGATTCATCCCAAAATATCCCAGCAGTATTTAAATCATTCTTTAAACTGGACTTTTCCTGTACTGGCAACTGTATACCTTACCCCACACTGTGGGGCCCTGGCGTGAAAGCATTAACTCAGGCAAACCTTTGTTTGTAGCCAAATCTACATAAAGCTGGTCCCCCACAATTATCCTTATTGACAGGACTCACTGACAAGAAAGGAGCCCTGAGCAGAGAGACGGTATGTCTGCTCTTACTGATAAACAGGTCTGAGTGGCTCTAAATTCTCTGGCAGCCAACTCAGGAGAGTATTGCCTACTGGTCTCTGCTCCCCCTTAACACTCTATTAATATACTGTACTTATTCAGCTTTCATTTGACATAAAGTCTTTTTTTTAAAGATTTATTTATTTATTATGTATACAGTGTTCTGCCTGCATGTGTACCTGCACTCTCCAGAAGAGGGCAGCAGATCTCATTACAGATGGCTGTGAGCCTCCATGTGGTTGCTGGGAATTGAACTCAGGACCTCTGGAAGAACAGTCAGTGAGAGCTCTTAACCTCTGAGCCATTGCTCCAGCCCCCTTGACATAAGGTCTTAGTCTAGGAAATTAACTGTTTGTACTTTTACCCCTAAAATATACAGGAAAAAAGTTTGGGGCGCTAACCAGCCCCAGAGGAAAAAAATTCCTTCTCACCTGGGTGCCAGTGGATACAGCACCCCAGGGCTAAACTCCATCCTTATCCTCCTGGTATCTGCCGGGGAGCTTCACAACCACGCCCCTCCTGAGACATAAGGTGCCTACCTTGTCAGTCTTTTATCCATCCTGTTAGCTCTAACAGGATGCGTGCTTGGTATCATTGTTATTTACCAGAAAATGGCTGTCTATGTGGATATAACAACTGGAAACCCTGTGGAAAGGGAACCACATCGAGGAGGAACATCGAGAGGGAAACATCAAGAGAGCATCGGAGAGAGCATAACAAGAATAAGTGGGACATGCTGAAAAGACCTCCGTGGGCTGGTTTATTTCACTTCCACTCAGATCCTATTAGTCAGCTCTCACCCGATACAGTGATCCTTCTGAATCCTGAGAGGCTTAGGGGGGTTAACTCCCCAGCATAAACGTACATCAACAGCGCATCTTGATTTGAAGATACACGTTTAATTCATCTAAGCTGGCAAGCTTTTTCTAGAAGAATCTAGACGTGTTTTAGGCTTTGTGAGTCACAGGGCCTCTGCCATTGTAACCTGAAAGTATCCATAGCTGTGCACAGATGAATGAGGGTGGACTGTGCTCAACAGAAGTGTAGTTTTGTTTTTCCAAAGAGGCAGGCTGGAGTTAACGCACGGGCCCAGATCCTGCATTACACTAACAGAACTTTCAAAGATGACAGAAATCTCTACCCTAACTGGTCCAGTCGAGGAGCCACTTACCACATGTGGCAGGATGGTTAATATCGAATGTCAGTGTGACAGGATGTGGGATTGTCTAGGAGACAAACCTTCAGGCACACTTGTGAGGGGTTATTTAGATTAAGGTAGCCTTGGGGCATACCCGTGGGCCCCCTGATGTGGGTGTTGGGAATTGCACTCCGCTGAGCCATCTCTCTATCACCAGGTACGGTATTGGCTTTTGCTTGTCACTAGTGGTACCATGACAGGGCCATGTACATGCTGAACGCAGGCTCTACCACTGAGCTGCACCCCGGAGCATCACAGAGGGTTTTGTTGTTTGTCTTCTGTGTGCTTGTGTGTATATTTGTGTGCCACGTGCATGCAGTTCACGTGGAAGTCAGAAGAGGGCATCAGATCCTCAGGAAGTGGGGTTAAGGTGATTGTGAGCTGCTGTGTGGGTGCTGGAAATGGAACCCTGGTCCTCCACAAGAGCCATCTCTCCCGTTAGCCTGGTGCAGAGGTGGTTTTAAGGCTGTAATCTGACTGTGATTGTGCCATGTCTCCCAGTGTGGCTCTGCAAGTATAAGGCTGGTCGTGTGGAGCCCTGTGTTTGCCCCTCAGGACCCTAGAGCCTCACGGAGGGAGGACACACCCCAGGCCCCGCTGAGAAGTTCATACTTACTGCCTTTAGAGCCATGATAAATTCCTCCCTGGAGATGCGCTGGTTCTCACCCCGCTCCACCTTGCTAAATACCTCCAGGATCTTGATCTTTCGGGTCCTCAGGTAGGCGTACAAGTCCGCCAGGATAGAGGGCTTGGGCAGTCGCAGCTGGGGTATAGGCTGATGAACAGGTTTGGGAACTTTGCCCTGAAAGAGGGAAAAGTGAGGCAGATATGGGACTGCTTAGATGTACATATTCCTAGCCCTCTAGTTAATCTCACTTCACAACCCAAAGAGGGACAGAAGGGGAGGATGTGCTATGTCTTTGTCCTTGTTTTCAGTGTGGCTACATTGAATAAATCTCCTTTATCATGTTCTTTATCATTATGATGTTCTTTTTTTAAATATTTATTTATTATGTATACAATAATATTCTGTCTGTATGTCTGCAGGTCAGAAGAGGGCAACAGACCTCATTACAGATGGTTGTGAGCCACCATGTGGTTGCCGGGAATTGAACTCAGGACCTTTGGAAGAGCAGACAATGTTCTTAACCACTGAGCCATCTCTCCAGCCCTCCTCATTATGATGTTTTTTTTATCATTAATCAGGATGCTTTAATTGACCTATTGAGGATGGGCGACTGAACCTCGCTTCTCAGAGTACAAGTGACTCTGAGTGATTTAATAAATACAGTTTCTGTGTGGTTATTATTTCAGGTCTAAGCTAGCCAGGTGGCTAGGAAGGACAAGGGACCCTTCCTCCTACAGGTAATGACATCAGCAAGGTGGCCCTCTCCACCCTAACCTCAGTTGTGTCCTCAAACTAGCCCACAAGGACTGGTTAGTACGGCCTCTCCAGCAGACAGGTCAAGATTGACTGCCAGTGTGCCCTAGCTGGGGTGCTTATAAAACCCTTCATGTGTTCTCAGACAGAATCCCTTTCCCATCCCATGGTGCAGGCGGTCCTCAGCAGCTCATTCTGACACAGTGCAATGTCAAGACCAGGGCCTAAGGCACTACGCCTCCCTGGCTCTCTATCCCGGAAGGCTCACTCTGGGGGCAGCCAGCCTTCTTATTGTGAGGGCTTGTCTGCAGCCTCTGGGAGGTCCCTAAGGGAGGCAGTGAAGCCTCTGCACAATAGCCCTTTGAACGAGCTTAGAAGGCAGTCCGTCTTCCTGGACTGGTCAAGTCTGAAGCTGTCTTCAGGTCCACAGTCTCATGATATAGAGACAAAGCCTCCCAGCTCGATTGTACTGAGATTCCAGAGTGACAGACATCGCTGTCTGCAATAATAGTATTTCTTTAAGTCCCACTGGGGTATTGGCTGTGCAGCGACAGGGAACTCATACACTTTCCTTTGGGGACTTGCTTTTGCTCCTTTGAAGAAAAGGGGCAAAGCACCTCGTCCTGTCTAATAAAAGGAAGCAAAATGACAACAGACTCCCAAAGCCTCAGCATCTTCTGGCCATCGGGGCTTCTTACCTTGGGTCTCCTGATTGAAATGAAGGTATCTTTGGAGGCTTTTTGCTCATGGCGGATCATGAGCAGAACCTTGGCCTCTGACGGTGTGATGCTGGGCTTATTCTCCAGCCATGTCTTGACATCGCCAAACGACTCCAGCTGCCTCCGGAGCCTTGCCCTCTGGCTCAACCAGACCTTTCTGTCCACAGGTGGCTCTTGGATGTCTTCAATATCCAGAGCTTTGAAGCTAGGTATAGGTGGAGGGGGAGCTTGAGGAGGCCTTGTGGCATGGGCTGGCACCTGGTCCTTGGTCCCAGGAACAATGATGATCCGCCTGCGGCTCTGTGGCAGGTGGAAGTCTTTCTCTTTCAACTGCCTGAAGCAGTGGGCAATGACCAGCTCAGGATTGAAGACAGGATGGCGGCTAGTTTCATAGATGTCCTCACCTATGGAGGTGTAAGACGGGAAGGCCCCGTGGGAGAAGAGGGTTGCAGGTGAGTTCCTTTTAGGAAGTGGACTCACAGGAGCCAGGGAAAGGGAAACTGTGGTAGGTGCTGGCTGTGTGTCAGGGTGTCTGGTCCCTGCCTGGCTCTATCACTGCGTCACTATGGTGAAGAAAACAGAGTGTTAGCTAATGTGACCTGCATGCCAACAGATGGAACAAAGACTTCTCACTGTCTCCGACTCTTACTATACTCTGCTTGAGCTCAGAAGACTTGGAACTGGTCTGACCAGCCTAGGCACCACAGCGCCCTCTGGTGGGAGCAAAAGATCTGATTCAGAGAGCTTGGGTCTAAGTGCAGCTGGCCGGCTTTCTGCTCAGTCTGCGGCTCACTTTCTTCTGTAAGATGGGGATAATGGATACCTAATTTATTAGGCGATGGAGGTGTTTATTAGAGTTGATTTGTACATAAGTGTGCTGCTATCTATGTATCTACTATGCACACTTACATACACACATCTTTGTTCACTACATACAAGTTCTCGTCTTCATGGTGCTAAGACTTGAACCCCGGGCCTAATGCTTGCTGAAGAAGTGCTGAGCCACTGCTCCACATCCCTAAACCCCTAACTTGTAATGTCATGGCAGGTGGGTAGGTGAGATTGCTCAGTGGATAAAGGCGCTGGCTGCCAAGGTGGACAGCCTGTGTTCAATCTCTGGAACCCACATGGTAGAAGAACACAGACTCCCACAAATTGTCCTTTGACCACACCTGCACCATGGCCCAAGCTGTCCTATGCCTGTTGAAATAAATAAGTGTGAAAAAAAAATTAGGAAGTTGGAGAGATGGCTCAGTGGTTAAAAGCACTGGCCACTCTTCCAGAGGATCAGGTTCAGTTCCCAGCACCTACATGGTAGCACACAACCATCTGTAACTCCAGTTCCAGAGGGTCCGCCACCCTTCTTTGGCCCCTAAGAGCACTGCACACACACTGTTCTCTGACACACATGCAGACAAAACACCCATATGCATAAAAGCTATAGCAGCCCCTTCGCTGTGGTTAATGGAGACGGTTACATCCAGGGGCCGAGTCATCTTCTTTCCAAGAACGGACTGTCAGAACTGTCTCACGAACCTGCCTTCTGCCGTACACTTTTCTAGAACCTGGCCTGTGGGGAAGTCTGTGGTGTGTTTTCTTGGTTGATGATTGACATGGGAGGGCCCCAGTTCACTGTGGGTGGTGCTATCTCTGGGCTGGTGGTCCTGGGTTCCATAAGAAAGCAGGCTGAGCAAGCTGTAAGGAGCAAGACAGTAAGCATTACCCCTCCATGGCCTCTGCATCAGCTCCTGCCCTGACTTCCCGGAGTGATGATCTATAAGCTATAACTTCTCAAGTTGCTCTTGGTCATGATGTTTAACCATGGCAATAGAGCAGTAATCAAGACACCATTGCAAGCACTCAGAGCTGCACACTGGTGGCCCTCACCCTGCTGGACACTCTACTTAGGAGCCTGGCCTCCTCAGCTTGCAGTGCCTCCCTACATTTCCTCTCAGCTCAGTTCATTTCATAACTGCTTGAGGGGGGCCTTCCTGTTTGAGAATCCTGGTGCAAACGCCTTGTTGTTTTTCTAGTAAACAGCTCCACAAAGACCATGACCTTGTCCGTGTCTGCACTATCCTCTGCTGGAGTCTTGGCTCCGCCACAGGCTTACCTGTAAAGGGAACTTAGTAAACAGTTCCTGGATGACAGATGTAGACATGGGGTTGGCGCTAAGACTGGCCACATTTTTCAGGTAGAGACACTAAAGCCCACAGAGACCCCAAGTCCCCAGGGTTGATTACTAACAGAGCTCAATTAGCCTGACAGACAAGTTCTTTTGTTTCAGGATTTCTTTTCAATTTCTGGGTATGAATGTTTTGTGTGAACATATATGTGTGTACCGCAGGAGTGCAGGGCCAACAGAGGCCAGAAGAAGGTGTTGAGATCCCTGGAACTGGAATTATAACTGGTTGTGAACCTCCATGTGGGTGCTGGGAACCGAACTCGGGGTCCTCTGCAAGAGCAAGTGCTCTTGACCACTGCACCGTCTCTCAGGCCCCAGAGTCAAGCTCTTAGCGAGTTCCTGTTACCCAGCTGTCACTTGATCCTCATATCTCAAGACTTTCATTTCTAAATGGTTTATGCCACCCCCATCCCCCACAACCCAGTGCTAGGGATTGGATACAGAGCAATCTCACTGCCCCCTTGCCTGTATTGGTATCACCAGATCTGACTGGCTCACGGCACAGGCAGCCCAGCTCACACACATGTGCCCCAACCCTGCCCCAACTCCTTCACCTCATTATCTCTAACTTGCTTTTCAGTCTCCTCAGCTCTTCTTTCCCACTCCCTTGGGTTCCCTCCAGCCCCCGCATTTAGTCTCACCACAGCATCATTTGGGCCAGGGTCTCACCAGGTAGGCCAGGATGCCCCACTTTCCCAGATGCTGGGATGGCAGGCTTTCCTCACCAAGGCTGGCTTTAGAGTGCTCTTGGAGTTAACACCCCTCCTGCCATGGTCTAAAGCTTTCGCCCCTCTTCCCCCTTATGATTTCCCATCCGCATTATCCCCTTGTCTACACTACTCCTTTCTGCTAAGCCATGTCTCCTTGCTCCTTGCCTGGCCCCTGGGTTCCATTTATCAAGTTGCTGTGTTCCTCAAAGGGCGTAGTGTTCCTTGAGGCTTCCCGCCCTGTGGTTCACAGTATGGGTGTGGTGGTTTAATTAAGGATGGCCCCCATAGGCTCGTCACCAGGGAATGGAACTGTTTGAAAGGACTGGGAGGTGTGGTCTTGTTGGAGGTGGGCTTTGAGGTTTTTGTTTTCTTTTGAGAAAGGGTTTCTTTGTGTGGCCCTGGCTGTCCTGGAGCTCTGTTGATCAGGCTGGCCCCAGACTCACAGAGATCCGCCTGCCTCTGCCTCCTGAGTGCTGGGATTAAAGGCGTGTGCCACCACCGCTGGGTGGCATTGAGGTTTTAAAAGCCCACACTAGGTTTAGTCTCTCTGCTCGTCCATCAGGGTATGGCTCTCAGCTACTTTTCCAGCATCTTGGCTGCCGGCCGCCATGCGCCCTTACCATGATGATAACGGACTAAGCCTCTGAAACAGTTAGCCAGCCCCCACTAAATGCTTTCTTTTCTAAGAGCTGCCTTACGAGCTGTGCCTCTCCTGCACTAGAACAACCACTAAGAGGACAGGCACCAGCCCAGACGCTCACTGCCCATTCTTCATGGCACTTCTTCCTAGTGCTCTTCCACCCACAGGAGGTGGTCCCTGCAGTGACAGGGTGAGGCTGCCATTTTGTCAAGATCGGGAAGGAAAAGCACTGAGTTCCAGCTCCTGCCCAGGTCAAGTGTGCTCTCTGACGTCAATGGCTGTCACTGACTGGCTTTGCTTCTGTTTGTACATTCCCAGGGACACAAAAAACTTCACCATGGACCCCGAATGCTGGAAAAGACTCTGTTCACTGACCCAAATGTGTTTCCTGGGAGCACCTGCCTGAGGGTCCTAACTGGTCTCAGAAAACACACTCCTTCTTTAATGGCTCACATCTCTCAGCTGCTGCCTCCCTTTCTGGCCACCATCCTGGGCTCCTGTTGTCCTGCTCACTCTGAAGCATCAACGCATTCCACTGGACAGCCACTTTCTCCCACTCACTCTGCGCTGAGGACCCCCGTTCCAGCACAGCCATGCATCTAGCTGCTCTGAAAACATCCCACTCCAATAGTTTACAGGGTTGTAGGTGTCCCCTGGTTCCAGTGCCATCTAACCAGGTCCCCCAGACACTCTGTATCTTTATGAAAAGTACCCTCACTTACCAAAGTCTGAGGGTGTCAAGCTGAACGTCACCCGACTGCACCTTTTCTCCTCGGCTTTCTGGGGCTCCCCTAGCCTGGCTCCTCTCTTTTGCTTTCCAGTGTATTTGACCAGGGTTTCTGCCAGACCCTGACTATGTGCCGGGGAAAGATGGCCAGCATTACTCTTTGAAGCTTTAGACAGGTCGGGAGGAGGCTTGCTGAGGACTTGGGTCTTCAGGCCCACCTGCCTCACATCTCTTCTCGTCTGTCTGTGTCCTCCACTTTTCAAATTGCAGCTCTTTGCCGAGAACTTTCCTGGGAACTGACAGCCAACTTCTCCAGGTCTCTTCTTCAATATTGGACGCATTGTTGCTCAACCCAGAAATATGCAGGATCCCAGGTACAAAAGCCCCGGCTCTGATTCCAAGCCAGGGGACTCGGCTGCTCCTTGAGCTAAGTCCGGGCATGGGAATCCTGGAAGAGTTAGTGACCTTCTCCAGAACTCCTGGCAACCCTTCTGGCAGAGCTGAGACGGCACAATGAGGCTTCCAGCCTTTCCTAATGGCTCTGCTGCGGCGAGTCAGAGGGTTCCTGCAGATGGCGCTGTGGAGCAGGCTACTGGTTTAGCCATTTGGTGCATATCAGTTTCAAGTTTTGCAAAAGGTAATCCAAGTTGCTGAGTAAGCCCCGTTGTCATAACTACAGATGCTGTGAGCCGATTGGCTGAGCGCTTCCACGTGCTGGAAGCAGGCGGGGAGAAAACCCGGAAGCTGGGAATGTTAAAGACGACTTAGCCCCAGGTTGGCGCCTTGTGTGAGGAATCACACCTATACCCCATTCTTCCTGAGGCTCCTGAATCTGAAGTGAAAATTCCCCTATTTTCCTGTTTTCTGACAGATTTCCCCATCTTTAGGCTTCATTTTTTCACATTAAAAAAAAAAACGCTACACTCCCACAGTCCCGGAGGGCTGAGAACCCTAACCAGTCAAGGTCTAAATATGAAAGACATATTTGGTACTACAACTGGGTGCTATGGTCCGGAACCACAGTTATGGCGGCACACGCCTATATCCCAACGCTCAGAAGCAGGCAGGAGGGTAGACAAAAGTTTGAGGCAGTTTGTGTTACATGACGAGTTCCAGGCCAGCTAGAGGTACACCGTGAGAACCTATCTTTAAAAATCAAAGCTGGGCAGTGGTGGCACACACCTTTAATTCTAGCAGAATTAATTCAGGAGGGGCTGGTGGATCTCTGTGAGTTCGAGGCCAGCCTGGGCTACAAGAGCTAGTTCCAGGATAGGCTCCAAAGCTACAGAGAAACCTTGTCTCGAAAAATCAAAATAAATAAATAATAATGATAAAAAGTCAAAACCGGAAACAGAGACTGGGAACCAGTCCTAATAATAAATCTTTGAAATGTCCACCCACAGGTGAAATACGGGGTGTGCATTTAAAGACACACATGGAGGGCTCCTGGTAATGAAAGAAGCCTGCAGGTTCTATTTATATGGAATGGCCAGAATAGGCACGTCTCCAGACAGTCAGCTCCTGGTGACCAGGGATGAGTGGGGAGAAAGGATGAGCTGTTAACTAGAAGTGATGGGAAGGCTCTGGGATTAGCTAGTGACAGCCACTGTACAGCACCGCAGATGTTCTAAAAACAAAACAAAACCACTTACCTGAACACTTTCAATTTTATTATGGCCAAGTATGAGACACACAGGAGGGTCTCCGTGAGTTGGAGGCCAGTCTGGTCTACACGGAAAGATCATATCAAATAACAAAATTATTTTGCACTGCTGGGCACTGAGCCCTGGGCCTTGTGCAAAACTCCAGGGGAACACAACTGTTGAATTACATCTCTGACCCTAAGTCCTTTCTTTCTTTCTTTCTTTCTTTCTTTCTTTCTTTCTTTCTTTCTTTCTTTCTTTCTTATTTATTATTTATTTGTTTATTATGTATACAATATTCTGTCTGTGTGTCTGCCTGCAGGCCAGAAGAGGGCATCAGATCTCATTTCAGATGGTTGTGAGCCACCATGTGGTATTTCATGTTGTATAAGCATCTGGGTAGTCGGAATAATGTCGTGGCATGCCTGATAGTTGCTGGGAATTGAACTCAGGACCTTTGGAAGAGCAGGCAATGCTCTTAACCGCTGAGCCATCTCTCCAGCCCCCCTAAGTCATTTCTAAACTTTATGCTAAAAAACAGACCAATATTTGAACAAGTTCTCTGTGCTGGGGCCCATCTTCACCAGACATAACATCTTCCTAACCCTCTACAACTGAGGCACTCACATCGTTTAAAGTTACAAAGCCACAAGAACAAGGCAGCAGGGTTTCTGAGATATGAGGAAAGGCTTGGAAGCCCGGTGATCTTATCTGCTGAAAGGGGAGAGGCAGGCCTGGAACCCTAGCAACCAACCAGGCAGAGCTCCCCTCCAGCGAGACCAGGGAGGGGGCCTCTAAATGGCCTTGCCCTGCAGCCTTCCTTCCCAGCTGACTTCTGGGAATTTTGCTCTTCCACCCAACCTGAGCTGTGGCCTAGGAATGTCAAGGTTTCTCCATACTCTGAGCTGCTTGTGCTGGGTGTCCATCCTCACTCTTAGCCTTTCTTTTCTCTTCCAGTGCTGTCTGCACCGCTCTCTCATCCTGGGAGGTCTCCACAGAGCCTTTTCATCTTTTTGTCTCTCTCTCTCCCCAGCACAGGACTCTGTACTTGTCTGTGCTGCTGTGATGGGTTATTGTGAAGTGGAAGGGGAGGTGTGGCCAGCTTTCCTGTTCTTCAGTCAAACTGCATCTCTCTTTACACTTTGTGTCCTTGCTATTTTCATGTATGTATGCACACTGCCTGTGTGCCCAGCGCCAGAGGGCAACAGATCCCCTCCTTCCTGTGCTCCTTGGTGAGGATGCTGGGAACTGAACTTGACTACTGCCATGGCTGAGTCAGCGCTCCAGCCCCAGCATCCCTTGTAACAGCTGCCGCTTGTTCACCAGAGGGGAAAATCAATTAGTCTGCATCATAGCACATCTGCCTGGGCACATGCTAGCCTGCGACAAACAGCTTCTGACAGCTGGTTTACTTTGCCTTCATCTGATTCAATTTTCAAGCTAAACCTTAGAACGGCAATTGGCAATTAAGAGTTAATAATTTAGGACTTCATTTGGTGATTTCTAAGGCAAACGTTTCGAGGTTAGAACCACGATACTCCGCCATCTGTTATGGAAATGGGATTAAACATAAAAAGGTCCCATTCTTAACTGGGAGAGGAGATGAAGTTTTACAAAGGACCCAGGGTTAAGGGAATGAGTGGCAATGGAGCCACAAGCAGACAGATGTTTACATCCTCACAGGGATGCTAAGGTCAAATCCAAAGTTCTTAAGAGCCAGTGTGAGTGGTCAAGAACACATGATGCCCAAGGGACCTTTTTAATAAAAATATTTTTATTAATTACCTAATATACAATATACTGTGAAACCTATTTGTACATCAGGTCTGAAGAATTCCATTAAACATGGATGGGAGCCGGGTGGTGGGGGCGCACACCTTTAATCCCAGCACTCGGGAGGCAGTGGCAGGCGGATCTCTGTGAGTTCGAGGCCAGCCTGGTCTGCAAGAGCTAAATCCAGGACAGGCTCCAAAGCTACAGAGAAACTCTGTCTCAGAAAAACAAAACAAAACAAAACCAGGGATGGGAGGTGGTGGTGCACATCTTTAATCCCAGCACTTGGGAGAGGAAGCAGGTGGATCTCTGTGAGTCTAAGGCCAATCTGGTCTACAGAGCCAGTTCCAGGACAGCCAAGGCTACCCAAAGAAACCCTTTCTCAAAAAAACAAACAACCCCCCCCCCCAAGAAAAAAAACCCTCAAAGAATTCCATTAAAGAGGACCACCAGCCACTTATCCAAACATAGTTTTATTTAGTCTAACAACTTTAGTCTATATTTTTCTTATACAGGATTTGGATGTACAGCCAAAGCTGCTCTCACACTCACATAAGCCAGGCTGCCTTGAATTCAGTGGTCCTCCTGCCTCAGCATTACAAGTGCTAGGAATGTGTGTGTGTGTGTGTGTGTGTGTGTGTGTGCATATACATATTCTTACTGTGTGTGCCACTGGTGGATTTTTAGGTTTTTTTTTTTTTTTTTTTTTTTTTTTGTTTTGAGACAGGACGTCACCATATAGCCCAGGTTGTCCTGGAAACTACAAAGTAGACCAGGTTGACCTTGAACTTGATCATGACCCTCTCCAAACTCCCACACGTTAGGATTATAGTAGTGTACCACCATGATTAGTATAGGTGAATCTCTGTTACTGAATATATCATAACACAATTTGTTAATGAAAAATGGGATGCAATATTATGCATTATGTGAGTGGATGTTTGCTGTGAGAGTGGAGAGGCATAATTTGATTTTCAAATTACATCTTAAAATAGTGTTTAATAATCAGGACTTAATTTTTCCGTTAGGTTTTTATGTATATGCACATACATGCCACACACACTAAGGCACCAATGAAGCTGGAAGAGGGCATCAGATTCCTAGGAGCTGTGGTGGGCTGCCCGACGAGGGTGCTAAAAACTGAACTCGGGGTCCTCTGGAAGAGCAGCAAGCACACTAAGCTATTGAGCCATCTCTCTCCAGACTATTTCTTAAAATTTTTCTTATGTATGTGATATGTATATGTGAGTTCAAGTGAAGGTCAGAGGTCAACCCAAAGGAGTTGTCCCAGGGATGGGACTCAGGTCATAAGGCTTAGCACAAGTGACTATTTAATGAGTAACTTCACTACCCTGCCCTGTTTGGGTTTTTTCCCCTCTATGTAGTACAGGCTGGACCTCTGGACAACGGCTGAGCCATCTCCCCAGCTCCCAACAGTTACTTTTTCACATTAAGAATCTGTCTACAACACTAATCGACTAAGATCAACTAGTGGGAGGGAGCTCACTGTACACAGTGCTCCTAGGGATGGAAGCACAAGACAGCTGGCTTAAGACAGACTTAATTTCTCATGATTTTCCCACAGCCAGTCATGGTATTTGTTTAACTTGTGGTCTTCAGGGTGCACCTGGAAGAAAAGAAACATATCAGCCATAGACACATTTAAAGGTTGGTGAGGGAGTTTACCATGATAATGTATCTGACTTAAACAGAGAACTTGAACCCAGTAGCAACCATGACTGTCTACAATTATACCTTACATGACAGGACTCCTTCATTGTTTACAAAGTACTTTCCAGTTCAGAGCTACCCCAGCCCTGGAGCAGAAGGCAGTGATGAGTCAAGTGTTAGCTCCCTGCTTTTGGAACATCACAGATCCTGGGAGGCTTCATGGACGGCTCTGGTAGTGAAGGAAGAGGACCGTGGCCCTGCAGCGTGGGTTTCTCCAGACCTCACGGATTTAATATGTTAGGGCAAGAGGGCAGTGTGCCCGGGTATCCTCCAGTTGCAGGCTGCCATCAGAACACACCAGTTCTGGGCACAAATAATAGGACTCAGATGCCACCCTCCAGGATGAGATACGAGGAGATACTGGCCAACTAGACACTCTAAACCCGACCATTTCCTATGGAGCGTACTGTTTCTGGTGTGTGTACAGGCACCTTTTACCTTCAGGAAAAGTTGAAATTTTATTAGTTGCGCCTATGAGGCATGCCTATGAAGGTCAGAGTAGAAATTAGAGTTACTTCTTTATTTTCACCCTTATGTGGGTTCCAGGGATGGAGCACAGGCTGCCAGGCTTGTGAAACACATTTACCCACTAAGCCATGTCTCTGGTCTACCTTCCACTTTTTGTTTGGGAAAGGCTCTCTCACTAGCCTGGAACTTACCACACAGGCCAGGCTGTCTCATCTACGACTTTTGACTGTGCCATCCGAGAGCTTCCAGGCACCCTCCTGTTTCTGACCCCACAGTGCCTGGCTTTTACCTAAGTTATGGGGATCTGAATTTGTTCTTCAGGGCAAGCACTTTACCAGCTGAGCCATCTCTTCCCAGCACTAGGGGCTCCTTTTAACAGGAAGAAACCCTGTCAGTGTTAGAGACAGAACACACCAGGAAAAGACAGCAATAGGGTCAGGAGTGACAGACTGCTCAAGTCAGCAGAGGCCACAGCAAAGGGACTTGGGCGGGACCTGAGGAGTCCCTCCTACAGTTTATAACCTCATGCCGCTGCTGCTCCTTAAACTGAGGGCAAATCCGGTAGGGACTACAGCAGGGCTCCTGTCTCGTCCGTCTTGGACACACTCGTGGACTTCTTTGCCCTGGAGGCAGATGTGCTGGACATGCTATGGCTGGCAGTGGGCTTACCTGCTTCCACTCATTGACACAAAAGATCCGGTACGAGTCGTTGCCGTATTTACCAATCCCGTGAAGCTCAATCGGATACCTCCACTGCTTTGTCAGATATTCATCTGAAGATACACACCCCACACATGTGGTCAGCCCCAGGGAAGACTTGTAACAGGGCAGGACGACCCCTCCCTCTGGACCAGCATCCTTATCACCTGCCTCCTCCTAACCACTCTCTTTGCTTTGCCAGCTAGCCAGAGGAAATGACTTCCTGCTTCTATGCAAAGGGCTACTTTGGTGTTGGGCAAACATTTATGGTTTAGGTCAGCAGGAGTCTGTGGTGTGGGGCAAGCAGGCTGTTTTAATGTCTTTAGTGCTAGAGCTAAATGACCTCAATTAATAGAGCATCCGGGGGCATTAAAGTTTTAAGGTGTGGCTGCCTTCAGTGGGCACAATTTGCTTCTTCCTTTGGGGCCACGGGAACATACCTGAAAACTTGACAATGGTTTTTGCACGGAGATCATAGAGACCGAGAGGCTTAAGAAGTTCTGACACGTCCCTCCAGTCAGCAGTTCGGGCCACCTCGGCTGAAGGATACTTCTCTAGAAACTCCCAAAGCACAGGGATGGCCATCTTGCCTGGCAAGCAAACCACAGCAGACATGTCTGGGAAGGGCTGACTGTGTCCAGGTAGTTCCTCATCTGGGGACTTCAGGCAGGGGCTTCCTTGTTACAACTTTCTTGTTAAGCACGCTGGGAAGGTTCCATGGATCTCTATCCCCAGCCTTGCTTGTTAATACTGTCAAATTATGACCTGAACCAGTAACCACTTACAGAATCAAATACCAACACTGTTAATCTCCTTGATTACCAGTCCAAATTATACCAAAATGAGCCTAGTTTTTAAGTAATCAGATCACCAGATAACCACTATATGCATTCAATGAATACAACCTGGATAGAAGGTGGGAAAATATTAACTGCTCCTTCACTGAAGACCCAAGCTAATCTAGAAGTAGGAAACCAATGACCACCTGGCCCTCAGTATTAAAAAGGATGCTGGCTGTCATTCAGTCTAATGTTCCCATAGGTGAAGAGTTCTGTGGGCTAAAAGGGAAAGGCCTTGTCCAACATCATAAACTCAAAACGGACCTTGAACTTGGGCCTCTTAACCAGTTTGGTTCTCTCCCTCCTCACCAGGACACAGATGGCAATGACCCACAAACCTGAGGTCCGATTGAGAAATATAGTCGCAATGAGGAGCTTCCAGGGATCATGGAAAAGTGTTTCTTGAACAAGATTAAAAGGTGACCGAGGAGGAGTCCATTTCTTGAAGGCTTTTCGTCGTGGGGGGCTAAGAGCTACAGAAACATAGGGGTGTCAAAGTTGTACTCATGAAAGACTTGGGTTGCCCCCCTCCATACTGCTTGGGGAAGGGCGGGTACCTTCTTTGTTGTACTTGCTGGAAAAATACAGGCTTGTTTTCCTTCTTTCTACTTGTGTTCGTGGACTGCTGTCTTCTGAAAAGAAAAAGCAGTTTAGAGAATCTATGTTTATGGAAGGGTGAGGCAGAAGAGAGTTTGTGGTTAGCCTGGGTTACATAATAAGCACTTACACAAATTAGTCTACTTCTCCTAAACACCCGGGCAGCTGGGCCTTATCTATCTTATCTCCTTCCCTTTAGATGTAAGGAGATTGAGGCACAGAGATGCTAAATAAGCCCCAGGGCACTCAGCTAGTGTGAGAGCCAACAGTGGAAAGCCAGGCAGTCTAGCTCAAGGGCCTGTGCCCTTTACTGATGCCCTGTGACTTACATGGCCAACTCACAGTAGGGGAAACTGCAACAGTGTGAATATACTGGTCTATTTGTATGATATGGCCATTAAAATGCTTTTGAGATTCTATCATGAATATTTTCCACTAATATTTACTTCTAAATGAAAAAAAGTCAAGATTCTAAAAATGATCCCAATTTTATAAACATGGACTCATATGTCTATGTATGAACACACACACACACACACAGACACTGAGAATAGAATTAAATGGTACAGTGGTTGTTAGAAAGACTGTTCAAGGTTCTGCAGTTGTATTTACCAAAAAGGCGGATCCAGGAGAGGCTGAGGAAGAGATGTGAGCTCAAGGCCCAGCCTGGCTTCTGTCTCAAAAAACCAAACTAGGGCTGGAGAGATGGCTCAACAGCTAAGACTACTTGCTGCTCTCCCAGAAGGCCAGAGTTCAGTTGCTAGTACCAATGTTGAGTGGCTCACAACTGCCTGTAACTCCAGCTTTAGGAGACCTGATATCCTCTTCTGGCCTCTGTGGGTACCCACAGATATGTGGAATTCACACTCACCCACATCAATACAAAATAAAAATCTTAGCCAATGTGATCAGACCTCTGGAGTTTCTACAACTGTCACTTAGTTTAAATGGTCATACTTCATACTCCTTTGGCTACACCCTCTGAGCACCAGTTAATAACATCTTACATTTGTATATTAAAAAAACATCTTTTTTCACTTCCCATTTTTACCCCACAGTTATTATTTTGTTATTGTTTTTGATACAGTGTCTCATGTAGTCCAGGCTCACCTCAATCTGCCAGGTAGCTGAGGATGGCCTTGAACTCCTGATCTTTCTACACCTAACGCCCAAGTGTTTGGATTACAGACATGTAACACCATACAGCTACCTTGTATTATTAATTTTTCATTTATGTGTGGAGGCCAGTAGAGGGAGCTGGAGTTACAGGCAGTTAGGAGCTACATGACATGGTTGCTGGCAACTGAACTCAGGTCCTCTGGAAGAGCAGGAATTGCTCTTAACCGCCGAGTCATCTCACTAGCTAGCTGTCTTCTCTTGTCTTGACGTGAAAAAATGAGACTAGTTAGGCTTATTCCTTAAATTTTCAGAAACTAAGGCTTAACAATTAAACAGTTGCCAGAAAATGATACTGGGGTTGACTAAACACCGCAACACACATCCAGGTCTCCACATAATGATGTCTGTGCCTTCTGCTACTCTAGTCTGTGCAGGTAAAGCCCAGAAGAAACTATGAAACAGAACAAAGGAAGCTGATATTCCTCATGGGTTCCCACACATCACTACCCAGCCTCCTTTACTGTTGTCTTGATATTTCTAGCCAAGCAATTATTGTTCCACTGGGCACCTGGTAACCCAATGGTACTTCCCCTTATACTGAGAACTAGACCTCAGTAGAGGAGGAGCTGAATATATCCATATTTGTCAAGGGGGGATGCTTCTAATATTTAACCTGCCCATTATAATAGCAGTAAATTCATATGACCCGATGCTTCCTTTATGAAGCTCAAAGGACACAGACTGAGGAGTCTCATCCATCCTCTAGGTACATGTGGCATCCCCTGTTAAAGACACGGCAGTCCCAGGCACAGAGAAGGTGCACCGTTATGGAGAGGACAGAAATGCAAGCAGAAATCAAGTGTTACCCTGGTTCCACCAATCTGTGCAGCCTGTTTCCCCAACGGAGTCCCAGTAAAATTAAAATTACTGTTCTTTAAGGGAGTTATTCATTATTGCTGCTGTGGCATAATGAATAACCCAGAGATGCTCAGATCTTTTTATCTATTATTCACTGAGGCTTTGTATAGGCAAAACTGCCAAGCCCCGACTCTGTGGGAAAAGCACAGAACAAATAATACATGAACTAAGCAATTACACTTTTGAATTATTGAGAGCTCCCAGGCCTTTTAGAGAAGCATCAGGCCGTAACAGGAGATAAAAAGACTGTGATATAAGATGGGATTAAATTGGAGCCACACATCAGCAGTACAGGAGGGGCGGGAGGATGCTGACCACTCTTGGTCAGTTTATGTATAAAAGGAGTCTTACCTACATTCTTCGCAGAGAAGCCTTTTAATTTTCCTTACAGTCTAGAAAGAGGAAGGCAAGTGGAGAAAGCTCCGCCTCCCAGCTGCTGCCCAAGAGAGGTGGGAGCAGCCATGTCCTGCCACTGTCCTGCCTTTGCTGGGCGCTGTGGTTGTAGCCAGCCGTGTCCCTCTCTGCCACAATTAAGGGCTCGATGACCAGCTAGCTCAAAGACCAGTTAGGGAAGGGGATGTGGCTCAGCTGATAGAGTGCTTGCCTACAATGCATCAGGCCTGGGGCCCATGCCCAGCACTGCATTAAAATAGTAGCATCGGGACACATGCCTTTAATCCTAGCACCCACCAGGCAGAGACAGTGAGACCCAAGCTAGCCTGGGAGTCATGGAACCCTGTGCCCAAAAATCCCTTAGAGAGGGCAGAGTTGGGATCAACTGGGAGAACGTATCCGGCTCTTTTTCACTACAGTCTCTATCTCACCCATACCCAGGGAAAGGAGTACAAGCTCCGGGAAGGTAAACTGGTTACCACACAGCTAACAGCACTTTCATGTGCCAAGTACCTCGGAGTGTCTCAGAAGTAAGGCGTTTCTTGGCTTGGGAGCAGCCGGGCATTTCAGAGTCACCCTGTAAAACGTCGATATGCAAATGCGCCTCCCCCTCTCCGTCTCCCTTCGATTTGATTTCCTCTGCTTCTAAAAAAGTTTGCTCACGGTTCGTATCACCTGCTTCTTCCGTTGAATGCAATTTGTTTGTGATGCCAGAAGCTACTTGTGTGGGATGAAGATCTGACCCTGGACTCAGTGGCTTTTCTGTACCCAGGCCCTTCTCTTCCCCAGCCACGCTGACAGTCCCTTGGCTGGAGCAGGCACCTGCAGGGCACAGACATTCCGGTGGAACCAGATCACTTTCAGCACCTGCTTTCTGAACCACAGATTCTCTTTTTCTGGAACTTCGTGCAGAATCCGAGAGACTCTTCCTGCGCCTTTGTTTGGTTTTCTCACTTCCAATTCCTTTCAAAACAGCCGCCTTTCTTTTGGGCTTTCTGGAGTTGGACAGTCTGCTGCTACCTGGGGTCTCTGAATTATCACTGGGTGAAGGCAACACAGGGGTTTGCAACCTGCTTCGTGTCCTGAGGTTATGCTGTGAGATGCTGCTTTCCTCTGGCTGCTGTGACTGTTGCGACGTCAGAGCTACCAAGCTTTGGTCTTTATAATCGGATCTGATGTCCCCTTTAGACGGTACAGTAAAATCAAAATCTTCAGGCTTAAGAAAAGTCTCTCCATTTTTGAGAAGATAATTAGCAAGTGAACGCTTCGATCTGAACTTCAGTCCTTGTGGGCTAAAAAAAAAAAAAAAGAAAAGAAAGGAAACTTATGCTAATAAATAGGAGTGACTTTTAAAAAGAACTGAACCACATTTCGGATTTCCAATTAATAGTTTCTAAATGTCACCAAAGATGTTTGCCATTTTAAAGTAACAAAAAGTGATCAATGGCCCCTTTTCAATAGATTTCTCTATGACAATATAAAAATCAACATACAAATATAGCTTAAATCCAAATGTATCATTAGCCACTGGGAGCAGGATCAACAACATGTATATGTGACTGTTCCCAAATCACTTGATAAAGCTAACCAGTGACACTGAGGGAACAATAATGGTTTATAACAAGCTTTTAAAAACATATGTGAGTGTGGCGTATGCGTGTGTGTCTGAGCGTTTTCATGTGTACCTGTGCATGTGGAAGCCTAAAGTTAAAACTAGGTGTCTGTGCTCACTTTCCACTTTGAGACAGTCTTTCTCAGTGAACCCGGAGCTCACCAATCCCAGTTAGTCTAGCTCGTCAGCTTTCCCTGAGGCTCCATTCTCTGGCCCTGAGGGCTGGGGTTACAGGCAGCTGCTATACCTACTCAGCCTTTTAGAGGGGTTCTGGGGATCTGAACCCAGGTCTCATGCTTGCTTGGCAAGTGCCTTATTCCCTGAGCCATTCCCCAGTTCATAAACCCAAGATTCTTACTAATGTTCCTATTACGGACAAAACCCACTGGGCTGGACTTGTTTCCTCCTGAGTGCTCACCTGATGAAGTATACGTCATATCTGCCTGCAGTTTTCCCAGACAGCCTTTGCTTCACAATTCTCTCCCATCCACACACGAGGGGCTCATGGCGTTCTGTCTCTGCAGGGCCGTTAAACTGAGTAGCAGCAGCAGGTTCCTGGGGAAGGGGGCTACCTTCGCTGCTTATCACCGGTTCCTTTCCGTCTTCTGTTCTTCCCAGTCCAGCGGCTACATCCTCCTTGCTGGAAAAACAAAGCCCAAGTGATGAACTCATTTCAAATATCTTTTATGCCAGGTGGTGGCGGTGGCGGCGCACACCTTTAATCCCAGTACTTGGGAGGCAGAGTCAGGCAGATCTCTGTGAGTTTGAGGCCAGCCTGGTCTACAGAGTGAGATCCAAAGGACTCTCTGCACAGTAACAGTTGAAGAAGATAACATTTTTTTAATTGTTTGGTAATCATGCAGTAGGGCTACTATAAAAGGTTTCTGATAACAGCTGGTACCTGACATTCACCTGAGATCAGCACTGCTTAAACTGATCGGCCCTCTCCTGCCAACAAGTAAGAAGAGCACTTCACAGATGTGTGCAACTTTCATAAAACAGTGTTAACCCCACCCCCAGGCACATGACTTCCGGCAAGAACTTCCAAATCTTTTGGTCTTGAGTCTCATCACTTTGTGAGCTTAAAACTTAGTCTTATTGACAAATTGTGTGATAATGAAATCCAATCACTTGCAGAACTAATACCAGAGCCCAAGCCTGCAGAACTGTGATCAAGTACTTCTCCCCATGCTATTATGGGGGGGATACCGACAAAACCTTCAGTACAGTGTATCACTCCCCCCTTTAGAGGAGGATATGGGCACCATGTCCAGGCAGGTGCTGAGGCCAGAGGGGGCTGGAGCCCTTGGAGCTGGGTTACAGGTGGTTGTGAGCCCGGGCTGTGGATGCTGGGAACAAACCCAGGTCCCATGGAAGAGCAGTAAGGGCTCTTAACCACTGAGCTCTATCTCCAGCCTTGGGAACAGGGTATCTTAATCACTAAACTATACATTTTAAAAGGAGAGGGAGGGTCTGGAGAGATGGCTCAGTGGTGACGAGCATATTCCAGAAGACTCCAGTTCAGTCCCAGCAGCCACATCAGGCAGCTCCTCACAGCCTGCAACTCTAGGTTCAGTCAATCTGACCCTCTCCTCTGGTCTCCACCAACACCTGTGTACATATTCAAAGACACACGTGAATAAAAATAAATCTTTAAAAAAGAAAGTGAATGAGTCTCTAGGGAGACCATTTAACCTAATCTGCCTTCTTTAAACAGGGAGACTAAGCAAAAACTAATGACTGACCACGGTTAGAACAACGGCACCTGATGGAATTTGGGGTTAATAGCAGTTAGAGAATTTTTTTTTTTTTTTTTAAGCTTTTTGAGACAGGGATTCTCCGAGTATCTCTGGCTGTCCTGGAACTCACTCTGTAGACCAGGCTGGTCTCGGGTCTCGAACTCACAGAGATTGGCCTGCCTCTGCCTCCCTGAGTGCTGGGATTTAAGTCGTGCACCACCACTGCCTGGCTCAGCTAGAAAGATCTTAGAGAGAGTAACTGAAATATGGAGGAATCACCACAAACTCTTAGGTTAACAAACTGGGTGGAAAAGCCAGCTCTGCCATTTATTATCAGCTGACCTTCCAAGAGAAAGACTTTTTGGGCTCAAAATCTCCTTTCTCCATCTGTTAAAAGGAATAATTTTTTAGAAAAGGTTTTGCTGCTGTTGTTTGCTTTTAAGACAGAATCTTATGCACCCCCAGGCTGGCCTTGAACCCACCACGTACCAGAGACTCATCTTCTACTTCTGATCCTCCTGCCTCCACTGGCCTGCACCACCACGTCCGGGTATTCGGTGCTGCCGATCCAACCCACGGCTTCGTGTATACTAGGTAAGCACTCTACCAAGTTAGTTAAATGCCCAGACCTCAAGGCTGTTTTGAGCGGCCAACATTTGAGACATGCAAATTTTAGCCCCGATACAATAGCTGCTTCCTTTGCGACTTTTCCTACGGCCGTTTCTGAGGCTCCCACTTCCGACCCAGGCTAACCTGCTTGCATAACAAAACATCCCTTGTCCTCCAAGCTCCCCGGTCAATTCGGCCAAGGAATTGGGGACGGGGCCCCCCACGGGTTCCCACAGTGGGGTAGAAACACCCACTCAAGAGCGATTCTCCTGTTTCCATTCTACAGATGGTGAAACTGAGGCTCGAGAGGGGTTAACAACTTGCCAGAGGTCCCAAGGCGGGTCTGGAACTAGGCTTTCTCTGGGGGTGCTGGAGGGGGCTGAGCTGTCCCAAAGGTTTGGGGTCTCCATCCTTGCTGCTCTGGTCCACCGAGCTGCAGCTGCAGCGCAGCTCCAGGTCGAGAGGCGGGGTGGAACTTGAACACAGCACAAAACACTGGGCGGAATCCAAAGACGGACCGGAGAATCAGTCCCCACTGCTGCTTTCCCGCCAGCCGCCAAGGCCAGGGCCCCGCCAATCAAACCCTCCGGCGGCTAAATGCCCCGCCCCACCCATCTTCCGTGACCGCTCGCCAGCGTCATACTTCCGCTTTCGCCTCCTGCGTCCGCCTCCTGCGTCCCTGCGCGCTTCAGCTGAGGAGCCAGCCTCCCTTTTGGACTTGCGCACTTGGAGCTCTGTGAACTCACGCGCGGTCCATTGCGCATGTGCGTTGCTAAGGGTAGCGCAGGTAGCCAGAGTGGTTTGCTGAGAGAAGCCTGTTGCTGTCGAGTCAGGGAGGAGGGGCCCGAGGCGTGAGGGAAGCCGCGATGAGGGCTGTGTTGACGTGGAGAGACAAAGTGGAGCAGTGGTGAGGAGCGGGACGCTCGGGGATGGTGGGGGAGGCGGCGGGAGCCGGGGTGTTGCTATGGCAACGGGCCTGCGGCCTGGGCCCAGCATTCTGATGCTGCACCTTCAACTCCCCAAAGGTCTTTCTCCTTGAAAGAGAGATTCCTGGAGTGGGCTTGGGGACCACCTGAGGGTGGCGGTCTGCTGGAGCGGTTTATAAGTCCTCACCGTCTAGTCTTGCTCCTCTCTTCTCAAAATCCCGCCGAACTTTTCTCACTCACCAGTGTGTTTTCTAAACTTCCTAACCTTTGATACATTTTCCAAGTGCTCAGTTTTTGGTTACGTGATATTTTTTAGGCTTCTTCACTTGTTTTTTTGAGATAAGGTCTCACTTTAAAGCTCTAGCTGACCTGCAATTCACTATGTTGACCAGACTGGCATTGATCTCAGAGATCTGCCTGCTTCTGCCTCCCCAGTAGTGGGATTGAAGGAGTGCACTACTATGTCTAGCCTACTGCACTTTTATTTAAACATGGTTTTATGCAGAAAATTATTCCATATATGAGAAATCATTTGTCCCAAATGCAATAACTATAACGTTTGAGCAGAGACAAACGTAACAGTGTGAGTAGCGTGCATCTAGGTACTGTTAAAAGGGAGTGTTTCTGCCTGATCCACTGTGTCTCAAGTGGGACATTCCCATGTAAGGTCAGAGAGACGTGTACGATGAGCATCACAAAAGACATTGTCCTGGTTAGAAAGGATGAAAAGGGACTTAGCAGTTTAGAACGAGTACTTCCTACACAAGCATGAGGACCAGAGTTCTAATCCTAGCATCTCCATAAAAGCCAGGTGTGGTCCTATGCAAGCCGGTACTGCTGCAGAGGGGAATCAAGACAGGATGATTGATGGGGTTTGCTAGCCACCAGCCTAGCTGGGGAGGGGGCCTGCAGGTTAAGGGAAGAAGAGAGGACACCTGATACCGGCTGGCCTCTGCAGACCACATGCACACATGTGTGTTTATTCATGCATTTATATACTGACACTTACACACGGGCAAATACAAATAGTTTGAAAAAGGATGAAAGAAAGTTGGACCGAAGCCTGTAACCCCAGCACTTCTGGGGGAGGAAGCAGGAGGATTGGGAGTTTAAGGTCATTCTCAGCTACACAGCGAGTTCAAGGCCAGCCTGGACTTTATGAGATTCATTCTCAAAAGACAAAAGAAATTGGATTGGGAAAATGCCTCATCGGCACAGGCACTCACTGCCCAGGGATGCAACCTGGTGGAAGGAGAGAACCAGCGCCGTGATGTGTGTACCCCTCAGCGTCTGCACACACACACTATTACACATGAATAGTGAAAATGCCCAGGTGCAGTGGTGCACACCTTTAATCCCCTGAAGGCAGAGGCAGGCAGATCTCGGAGGAGTTCGAAACTAGCCTTGTCTATAGAGTAAATTCTAGGACAGCCAGGGCTACACAGAGAAACCCTGTCTTGAAAACCAAAATAAATAAATGGATAGTAAAAAAATGTTTTATAGAAGAGAATGACCGTAGAGCGACTTTGCCACCTTAATAATTCAATGCTGTTTGCTGTCTACTCTATTTTCCCACCAAAATTCATCAGCCAGGAAAGCACTTTGGGAAATCCTGGCTTATTTGACTAGTTCTCAGCCGGAATCAGATTCTTCCTAGAGGGTCTGTTCATCATCACACCACGCTGTCTGTCCTGGGGCCTTGCTGTGTGTGACACTGAGGTCCTAAACCTCCCCCAGGGCTCGCTTTGGAGGAGCTTGCACAAGGAGCAGCTAATGCTGACTGGTTCCAGACACTACCGAAGAACTTTGTATCCTTTACCTTGTTTTTCTCTTCACAGCGGCTCTGAGGGAGGCAACTGGAATTACCTCCAGTTTGCAGCAAGGAGCCTGAAGTGTAGGGAGGGTAGCAAGATGAGTGTGAGATGGAGCCAGCTTGCCAGCTCAGGCTGCTCCATCCCAAAAGCCAGTTCTTTCAGCCTCTACCTTTAATTCAGCCAGGCAAGTATGTGAACAGGCTTACTTCTTTACATCTTCAATAGAAGGAACTTCTATTGCTTGTAGGCCTTTCTGCACCCGACTTGAAACATGTCGCCTTGCCAGTGTCTTTCATTTGAATAAAACCCTCTTGGAGGTGAGCAGCAAGGTGCTCGCAGTGGAAGGTGCTTGCTGCCAAGCCTAATGGTCTGACTTTGACCCCTAGAGCTCATATGGTAAAAGGAGAGAGCCAACTCCTGCTAGGCGTCCCTTTGGCCTCCAGAAGCTCTTAGTACTACACATGCCCCCAATTAAATAGAATTTTAAACAGTAAACAAATGCTTTTGGTCTTGCTTTTTTGAGACAGGGTCTCCTGTAGTCCAGGCTGGTCCTGGGTTTCTGGGCAGCCTCAGCAGTGCTGGGGTAATAGCATAGTTTATTACTTTCTCTTCCCTCTAGTGTAAGAGCACCCACAGCCAGGGTGGTGGTGGCGCACACCTTTAATCCCAGCACTCAGGAGGCAAAGGCTGGTGGATCTCTGTGAGTTTGAAGCCAGCCTGGTCCACAGAGTGAGTTCCAGGACAGCCAGAGCTATTTAGTGAGACCCTATAGTGGCTTTCTCAAAAAACAAAAGCCAGTACACAGAAAAGAGCACCCACGGCACAAACTGGCAATAATTGGCAGCCAAGCACGTGGCTTCTGTGTCAGAGAGCAATAGGGAGTGGCAGGGACTATGGCAAACTGGAAGGCTCCCGTCTGCACGAAAGGGGCAGCTGCTGCTCTGCTCCTGCCAATTACCACTGCGTAGGAATTTGGCCTGGTGTGTGCAGATCTTCCTATTTTTACCAGAAGCTCGGAATCTGCGTTTTCAATGTGAAATGTCCTAATTTTTAGATGTTGGCACCTAATTAGAAAAAAACAAAGTAAAACACCATGTGGGCCAAACAAAACATTTGCTGGTCAAATGCAGTCTGATCTGCTCTGTTCCCAACCCCTGGCACAGAATTTGGTTCATTCTGCTCTTGTGGTACTTAGAGTCTGTTGGGTGTGAGAGTTATTTTTTAATCTGTTTAGCCCAGAAGTCTAGAAACTGTGTAAAAGCAATGGCTGTATTTCATTTCCTAATGTTTCTGGAGCCTGTTACTGTTTGGTGAATAGATGTGTGTGTGTGTGTGTGTGTGCATGAATGACTAACCAAGTGAGTGAGTGACCTGCGAAGACTGCTTATCTGGCTATTACAGGTTTGAAACAATCTATCAGAATAGGAGGTACAGAGGTTCTGTAGACCAGCAGCCTGATGATGGCCACATTGCCACCGGTGGAATGGAAGGAAACAGAACAAAACTAGCACCTAGACAGGGAATCCAGCAGTTCCAGATGCCCTCCCCAGCCTGCCATAGGCTCCTGCTCTGCGTTTTTGCTTCTGGTCGGTCTTTGACCCAGCAGCAGAACTCAATCAGGACCTGTTGCTGTGATTCTGTGGCTCTGCTCCACATGAACCCAGAGTGACCCCTTTCATGTCAAACTGTGCATTTTGCTGGGTGGTCCCCTGGCCTCCTTCCCTCTAGGCTTGCTAACATTCAGATTTGTGTTTTGGAGCTGAGCCAAAGATTCCATTTCCCTACCCAAAGACCCTTCTCAACTGATTCTCTCCACCTCCTCCCTCCTCTCCCTCCCTCTTTTTCTTTTTTCATGTATGTGGTATGTGTGTGCACGTGTGTATGCAGATGCCCTTGCCTGGGTGTGCACATGAGGAGGTCAGAGGTTGACATTGGGTATTTTCTTCTATTTTTTCCACCTTATTTTTATTTATTATTTATTTTCTATGTTAGGTATGTGGATATTCTGCCTGTGTGTATGTCTGTGCACCACCTAAGTGCCTGGCATCTGCAGAGACCAGAAGAGGGCAGCAGAGCCCCTGGAACTGGAGTTACAGACAGTTGTGAGCCACCATGTGGGTGCTGGGAAACCATGTCTTCTGCAAAAGCAGTGAGTGCTCTTAAATACTGAGCTCTCTCTCCAGCCCCCAACCTCCTCCTCCTCCTCCTTATTATTGTTTTGAGATAAAATATCATCACTGACTCTGAAGTGAGCCAGTTAAGCTAAACTAGCTATCAGGGCCCAGGATCTGCCTGTTTCCATGTCTCCATTGCTGGGGTTACAAGTATGGTTTGTCATGCTCAGGTTTTACATGGAATATTGGGGACTTGAACTCACGTCCCCAGGCTTGCTCAGCAAGCACTTTACCAAATGAATTATCTTCCAACCTTTAAATTCTCTCTTATCTTTTATTTCTGAACTTCTAATTTTCTTTCTCTCTTAAATATGCTACTTTAGGTTCATCTCAACCACAATCCTTTTATAGGCTAGCTTATCTTATTCTGGGCAGGCTAGCTAGCACTGAGAGCTATTGAGATTGAGAAAGCAGGGGGTATGGTTCAGTGGTGGAGAGCTTGTGCAGCATGTGTGAGGCCAAGCATTCTTAGCACCACATTAAAAATGTAATGAAGTGATAAAATTTGTCTGAGATTGCAGATTCCTGCTACTCAGATCTCCAGCCCAGTAGAGAGCTCGTCTCAAAAAAGTGAAAGGAAACCTTGAGTTTCATCTAGGCACAACAAATAAACAAAAATAAAAGCAACCCCAAAGCAGTAAACAAGGTAGCATGTGTGGCTTGTGTGGCTTTGAAGAGCACCTTGGGACTTGAGTCCGTAGAGGACAGTTGGCAGGGCTCCCCTCCCATCTCTCAGCAGTGAAATCTCATCATGCAGATTTGACAGTTTATCTGTTTCATACAGGAGGACACGTTGGGAGAGAGGCTGCCATGGTGGCACAGAGCACCAGTGGACAGCAAGCCTCCAAGCCCTGGAGTGTACTGGCTAAGGCTAGGTGGCCATGTGGAGAGAACATTTGTCCTGGGTGGGTGTTAGATTCCACGACAAAGTCTGAGTGCTTTCCAATTTGGGGGATTCTGTGATGTTGTGATGTCATTAAATCCTTGGGGGTGGCTCAAACATAAAATCCAGGCAGGTTGTCAATTGCCATCAGTGTATTTAGAACTTGTCAGGCCCCCAGGTCTAACATATTACGTAAAACTTCGTCATTGCCCTTGAGTTGTAGATGACTGTGTTAAGGAGACACATATGACACAGTCAGCTACAGAAGAAAGCACATTTTAGGATCTGAGGGAATTGTTTCAGCTTAGCCCAAACGAGTCACACTTGCAGCTGAGATGGCTCAGTAGGTAAAGGTGCTTGCTGCTAAGTCAGATGACCTGAGTTCCATCCCAGGTACCAACGTGATAGGACCAACTCCTATTAGTGGTCCTCTGACCACACACGAACCATGGACTGCATTTGTGTGCCTCCCCAAATGAATTAATAAATGTAATAAAAATGATCTGAAGCCAAGAGTGGTGGCACATACCTCTAATCCTAGCACTTGAGTAGTGAAGGCAGGAAGATCAGAAGTTCTAGGTCAGGCTGGAGAGATGGCTCAGTGATTAAGAACACTGGCTGCTCTTCTAGAGGTATTGAGTTCAATTCCCAGCGACCACATGGTGGCTTGCAACCATCTGTAGTGGGGTCTGATGCCCTCTTCTGGCATAATGTTGTCCATGCAGATAGAACACTCATATACATAAAATAAATAAGTCTAAAAAAATAAGAGCTGAGGTCTCATTCTCAGCCACATTAACTGAACAGTGAATTTGGAACCAGACTGAGCTATATGAGGCTATTTCAAAAACAACAACAAAAATGCCAGGTGAGGTGGCTCACACCTACAAATCCAGCATTTGGGAGGAGGAGCACCATAAGTTCAAGGCTAGCTTAGGCTACAAAGGACAGAGTAATAAGACCCTGCCCCCACAAACAAACAAGACAAACAAATAAAACTAATCCAAGCACGGATAATCCTTGGAGCAGAGGTGTAAGAATCATTATGACTGGCTCAGGCGTATACAGGCAGGAAGGGAGCCCCACCAAGGACCAGATGAAAGGTGCCGTTCAAGCTAATATCTCATCAAAAGACACGCGGATGCTAGGCACTTTATATGAGGCTAGCCCATGACCCCTGGTGTTAGGAGGATAGCCCTCTGCCTTGTTTTACAGCTGAGAGTGACATTCAGATAGGTCAGCTTTCTTGTCCCAGTTCCCCTCTGCTTTTCAGTCTAGCACTTGCTTCTCTGAATGTGAAACCCGTCAAGAACATTAGGAACAAGGAAGCCCAGGCCTGTAACCATGTAACAGTGAGGAAGGACAATGTAGAACTTGGGCCAGGATTTAATTCTACACAGTATGCCAGACAGGCTTACCTTTGCTCAGCCTCTGTCGGGCAGCTGTGCAGCAGAAGACAGCTCCTCTACATATGTTTCCAGTTCCTCTGTGGGCTCGCCCTGTCTGCTCTGTTGTACTATGGTGTGTACAGGTGGGGTAACATTCCCTGTCCCGACTCTCAACTGCAAGTGTAAAGAGTTTTTATTCAAGGAGTCTTCCAGGAGTCAGTAGCCTGTGGTGTATGATGTTGTGTGTGGACAGACACATAGAAAGGGTACTCACTCCACATGTGTAGAAGGGAAGAGTCCAGAGCCGAGGGTATAAAGCTAGCTGCGTTGTTGCCTGTCTGCCTATAATTCCGGTCCTTCCAAGTCTGAGATGGGAGGATTGCCCGACATTTGAGGCCAGCTTGAGCTAAGTAGCTAGCATGAGGTCACCCAGAGATATAGAGATCTATGTCTCAAAAAAACAAAAACAAAAAAACAAAAAACAAAAAAAAAAAAACAAATAAGGGCTGGTAAGATGGTTTACAGATGGAAGTGCTCACTACGCAAGCCTGATGACCTGCTTTTGATCCCTGGAGTCCATGTAAAGAATTTGGTTATATACATCTGTAATCCCAGAGCTCCTGAGGGGAGACGGAAGGTGAGACCAGGGCAGTCACCTAAAGTTCACAGGCCTAGAGTATACCACACGGTCACCACACGGCAGAAACAAGAGAACCTCTGCCTCAACACGGTAGAAGGTGAGAACCGATTCTGGAAAGGTGTCCTCTGACTCGCTTGCCCCCACACTTGCACAAAGACACAAGAAGTAAATAAAATAATACCAAAACTGCAGACGAGGGTGGGGAAGGGAGGTGGTGGCCAGAGAACACGAGGGGAAGGATACATTTTTAATGTCTTTGTGGTAAACGATACGACACATTAATTAACTTTCTGCAATACAGACTACATATTTATATATTATATAAATATATTGTACCGTATATACAGTTATTATTTGTAAGTTACTTTCCAAATTCTACATGGATTGCCTTTAGTAAATGATAATACTTTTGAGGGGGCTTCTGAGAAGGCAAGAAAACCTTGTGAATTACTTCATCAGCCATGATACACACTAACAGCGATAATGAAGACTGAGGGAAGGTTGGCACATGGGTTTTAAGGCTGGGCTGCTGGGATGGGGACCCTGGCTTCACCTCTCCCCTGCAGCACTTCGCTTTCAGGCAAGTAGTTTTCTTATCTGCAGGGTAGGCTTAGGGTTGTGAGGCTGAGAGACCTTAAACAATTGAGCATTTAAACTGTATCCTGTACACAGCAACACATGTGCTCAATAAATGTCAGCCGCTGGGAAAACATTCAGGGAAACATTTGACATGCTTGGCAGTCATCCAGGCCAGTAGAGGCAGTGCAGTATGATGGTTAGGAGCCCAGGCTTCAGAGGCCCTGGTTGGTTGTGTTCAGCTCCTGCCCAGCTGAACCGTGGTGTTACCTATAAGCAGAGTCGTCTGTCCTTTCATTCCCATGGCAGAGTTGTTTCAGGAACCCCAAAGGTACCAAAACTGACAGATGCTCCAAGTCTCCCTTTCATACAGCGTGATGTCTGCGTGGGAACTTTCAGAGGACCTGGAGCTACCATTATGCTGTAAATCAGCTCTCGATGACATGGGAATGCTGTGGAAATCTCTACGCCTCTGTCAGGGAATACTGATAAGGAAAAAGGACCTGTGTTCACTACAGACTTGATTTTTTTCCCCCTCTGAACGTGTGTATGTGTGTGTGTGTGTGTGTGTTTCTTTCATTTATTTTTAAGACATTTTATTATGTATACAGTGTTCTGCCTGCACATATGCCTGCAGGCCAGAAGAGGGCACCAGATCTCATTACAGATGATTGTGAGCCACCATGTGATAGCTGGGAATTGAACTCCATCTCTGGAAGAACAGCAGGGCTCTTTAACCTCTGAGCCATGTCTCCAACCCTGATTTCTTTTTGTTTTTAATTGTTTTTATGAGACAGGATTTCTCTGTTTAGCAGCCCTGGCTGTCCTAGACCTTGCTTTGTAGACCAGGCTGGCCTCGAACTCACAGAGATCCACCTATCTCTGCCGCCTGAGTGCTGGGATTAAAGGCGTGCGCTGGTGCTCCTGGCTACAGTACCGTTTCTGTGCAGTTCCTCCTGCCCTCACAGTATCCCTTACCATCTTACCCACTCTCAGGGGGCCTTGGTTATAAAATACCTTTGCATGTTTGTCAGTATGAAGGCAAAAAGTGCCATACTTCCTGACATGTCATCACTTAGAAAAGCATATTCTTTGAAGCTGGTGCCACAGGAATTCTTGCCCAATGTGTCTGCTTCATACATTCCCATTCAAGTAGAAACTCCTGGAGGGAACTCTGTCAAGCTCCCCTGTGTCTGTTGGTGCCCCATACCTAACGTGTACTTGGTAATATCTGGGTAGCTGTGGTGCCTCACACTTTAGCTGGGCTGTCCCACCTTTCCATGGAATGCTTGAAAGAGCCTGTGCCCTCAGCTCTTGACCCTTTGAATCATTTCTGGCTTCTGGACGAGAGGAAACGGGGACGGAGCTGACTGCCGAGCAGATTGTGATTGAATGGGCTGCCAAGGTGTGGTTGTTGAGTGGAATTTGCAGCCAGATGCAATTGTTAGCTATTATTTTCTACCCCGGCACACACACATTATTTCATAATGGAAATAAAGCTTGCTTTCCTGGCCATTAGCAGACCTCATCGTTTCGGTTCTTAATTGTCTTTTTGTCTTGTCTCCTGTTAGTATCTACGACCTCGCGTTCAAGCCTGATGGAACGCAACTGATTCTGGCTGCAGGAAACAGATTGCTGGTAGGGTTTCGTCTTGAGTTTCCATTCCGAGTGCTTTCTTTTCCCACCCTCTTGTAAGTACTCTGAAATTTGACCCCCTTTTTTTGAGATAAAAAAGGCAAGGGCGGAAAACCCAGCCATTCCTTTTTAATAAGGAAGGAAATGGTGTATTTAAAACAGGTAGGTGGACTGTCTATCAGATAGGAACTCATGAACAATGCCTCCTTTGGAGTCATTTGTCTTTCCCCTTTGAGACGCCCATGAAATGGTTGCAAACAATTAATCAAAATGCCTTTGAAACTGGGTGACTGTCAGTTCATATTTTGTTGGACCAAAGTGAAATAACAAGGCTAAAGGCTATCTATCTATCCTTCCACGAGAAGTCAGAAAGCTGACCCTGACTAAACAATTCCATATGAATGCTGTCCCATAGTTCATAGTTTCAAAGGATGCAGGCTCCCTCTGGAACCTATCCTAGTACCTAAGGGCAATCTTCAGAGACGCCTTTCTGTTTGACCCCAGACCTCTGTAATAGACCTTCTTCCTATAAGCTGTGTCCTCTCTGCTGTGTCTCCATGTTCTGTGTGCCAACTGCATTAGTCTCACGGCTATGGTTGAGTTGTTCTGCAGACTTCTTTCCAGGGTAAACAGCATAGATCCTTTTCACTTCCCGTCATGGACTTCCTTCTCAGTGTTCTGCCTGTGTGGGAGAGCTCTGTCCTCATTTCTCAGATGCTCTGTTTTTTACATCACATATTTAGCCATGTTGCACAACTATAAAATACCCTAAATGCACATTACAGCTGGGTTTTATAGCACTCCCTCCCACTTGCAAACCCCACGTTTGTTAGATCTGTGACTTTCAGACGTGGTCGTAAGTATGATGCATCTGTGTGTGCTGACATTAGCGGCAGTGTTGGCCCTGACAGTTAAACATGTTGTCCACCAGCTCTTTGCGAGTGCTGGCTTTGTTAACGAGGGCCTGCCTTGATGGGTCATTTATCCAAGCCCATGTAAGAATGAGGGAAATTGACTCAGGTCTGGTTGCGCAAGTTTATAATCTCAGATACTTGGGAGGTGGAGGCAGGAGGATCAGAGATTCAATGCAGGCCCGTGCTGCAGAGGAAGTTCAGAGCCAGCCTGAGCAACTTGGTCAAACCCTGTTTCAAACTAAAAACTAGAAGAGAAGTCTGGGAATCTAGCTCAGAGGCAGAGGGCTTGTCTGGGATTGTACAGCACCCCAGGTTCAGTCCTGGTACTGGGTGGGGAGGTGGGGAGAACAGGTGAAGTTTGTGGAGCTTTCCCTCAAGTGAAAATGAGTGTGGTCACTGTTTCTTCACCATTGATGGAGTGTATCTGGCCACACAGAGCTTAGAGCTGGACCTCCACTTCCTGCTTGCCTTGCAGAAGACATATTCATTCTTGCTATGCAGTGCTGTCTCTACTTGATACTAATTTAGGAAATCAACAACTGTTGTGTTATAAAAACAAAAATAGCAGTAGCACCCTGCAGGAATTTTGAATAATGGACGTCACACAGATAATCGATATTTTTATTTCTTCTGACAGGTTTATGACACCTCCGATGGCACCTTACTTCAGCCCCTCAAGGGACACAAAGACACTGTGTACTGCGTGGCATACGCAAAGGATGGTAAGAGTACTCTTTACCTCTGCATGGCCTTGTGCTGCTCCTCTTCCTCCTTAGGAGCTCTGTAATTATCTTTAAAATGCAATCTGCATGCTCAGAGGCTAGGCAGTAGCTTAGACTTTGGCTACTCATGGAAACAGGTAGTTTTGCTTGCCTTTTGTGGTGCTGGGACCGAGCCCAGGGCCTTGTGCACACCAGGTTGGTGCTCTGTCATGGAGTTAAGACTCTAGTCTAGCTAGCCACATGTCAGGCACTGCCAAGTACTTGTCTTACTTCAGAGAACAAAGGAGAAGAAGGGATTGTTGGGAGCCAGGAGGAAGGGAGGGATCAGGGAACATGTAACATGAGCATAGTCCATAAGATAACGAAGTGTGAGGCTGGCAGGTGGTAAGGCGGGCAGAATACGTGGTCGGAAGTGTTGAGTGGAGAAGTCTGGTGCATTATCTGATTAGACTGTGAGATGGGCCCCTTCAGAGAAGGCAATTGAGCAAAGACTTGCAGGTCTGAGATGGAGAGATTTTGATTAGGCATTTGGGGAAGGAGCTTCTTTTTTTCAGAATTTGGGGGGATTTCAAGATAGGGTTTCTCTGTAACTTTAGAGTTTGTCCTGGAACTCACGCTGTAGACAAGACTGGCCTCGAACTCATAGAGATCCGCCTGCCTCTGCCTTCCGAGTGCTAGGATTAAAGGCGTGCGCCACCACAGCTTGGCTGAAAGGAGAACTTGAAGATGGAAGAGCCACTGCAGCAGCCCTTGGGTTGGAGCTGGGGCAGAAAGAATGGGAGAGGGGATAGAAAAGAGCAGCTGTTGGGTCGCCAGATGGTGTCAACATCATCAGAGCCCTCAGTGAAGGAGTGAAGACAGCATCATTGTTAAAGGGGTCTGAGTGGACCAGGGGTCTGATCTGATTTCTATTTTATATGGAAGCCTTGGAAACAGCTTACCAAGATGAGGGGAAATAGGGAGCTGAGTGACAAGCATCTTCCAGGACGGGTTTCAGTGTTTCCGTGGGGTCCAAAGAAGTGGTAAGAAGTGATCAGGTTCTGGATAGCTTTGAGGACAGAGCAGACGGGATTTTCTGGCAGGCTGGGTGAACATTGCGGGCAGCTTCACAGCCCTTGACTGAATGACTGGATGGTAGAAGTACCCTCCTCCAATGTGGGTGGTGCTGTCTTGAGGGCAGCCGCAGTGGAAGATCCAGAGTTCAGGTGTGCACATTTGCACTCTGGAAACTTGGTGGGAGAGAGGGAGAAGATGGCTGGGATGCAAGCGTCCAGTGGTAAGGATATGGGACCTACGACACAGGTAGGTAGGGCTTTGCTTCTGGAAGGGGCATGGCAGGCAGGGCCTGTGATAGTAGGGATCTAAAGGACATTCTTTCATGGTTTTAGTGTAATGGGAAGCCACTGGGACCGAGAGTGAGGACTGGGAAGAAGTGTTAGAGAGTTGAAGAGAAAGGAAAAAGTAATTTGCAGGTTTGGAGAGTGGGAGAATGAATGGATTTGGGAGTGCAGTGGGACCCCCAAGGCCGGAAGGATATACTTGAAGCTGGAGGGCATGAGTTGCAAGTGACAGCCCTTTGTGTGGTTTGTCTTCGCCAGCCTCTTTGAGCTTCATAGCAGCAGCAGGAGGAGGAGGGATGGCTTTAGTCAGAGTGCAGTTTACAGGCAAGGTGAAGTGACAGCAGAGCAGAGAGGATGACTTGAAACACGTGGAGAGGCTGCAAGGGAAGAAGGGCAATGGAGAAGAGGTGGGGTCTGAGCTCGAGAGATTATTATACTGCAGCACCTGGATGGTTGGAACAGAGAGAAGGTGGTTGGAGAATTGGTGTGAAGTTGAGATTGTGAGCAAAAAGTAAATTCTTGTGGGCTGGGGACGTAGCTCTGTAGTAGGAGCTGTGGGGCTGCGTCCCCAGCACCCAGGCCTCCTGCTAGCTTATGCCCCAAAATAATTACACGGACACTGTATTCTTTTAAACACTGCTTGGCCCATTAACTCTAGCCCTTACAGGCTAATTCTCATATCCCGATCAACCCATCTCTAATAATCTGTGTAGCATCAGTCTTACCGGGAAAGATTCTAGCCTACGTCCATCCTGAGTCTGAGCTTCATGCGTCTGCCTGGGAGAGGGGAGCATGGCCTCTCTGAGCTCACTTCCTCTTCCTCCCAGCATTCTGTTCTGTTTACTCCACCCACCTATGTTCTAACCAATAAAATGAGACAGGGCAGTTTCTTTATTTTTTAACCAATGACCTTCCTTCATCATTTCCCCTTTTTCTGTTTAAACAAAAAAAAAAAGGAAGGCTTTAACTTTAACATAGCAAAATTACATATAACAAAACAGTTATCAAGTAAAAATTATAATATTTATATTTATTTTATCTTTATCATAACTAAGGAAAACTATAACTATAACTAACTATTCTTCAACTCCATCAAAGACTCCAGAAAGATACAATATTACCTAAGCAAACAAGAAATAAGCAACTTTTAAACTCTAGAAATGACAGAGACATCTCACTGCCTGGACAGTCACCCAAAATTCCTCTGTACTGTTGGGGCATCCATCTTTAGCCTTCAGGCCCATGGTATCCAGTAGACATTTCCATGAAGCAGGAAAATTCAAAGTCAGTTCAGTCACTATCTGTTGTGTCCTGCAGAATGTCTTGCAGACTCCTTCATGAATCAGGAACCCCAAAAGGTCATCTCACCTTTAGGCAAGTTCAGTAGTCCTCTCTCTG